TCGGGCCGGCTGGGGAGAGTTGGGATACGGCATGTTGCGCGGCTGAGGCTGGAATGACGGGGGCATTCCACGACCTTGGCCGGGACCGTTTCTAAACTGGTTGTTGGGCGGGTATCCCATCTGATTGTTGTACTGGTTGTGAGGGTTAAAACCTCGGCCACGGCCGCCTTGAGGAGGGAAGTTGGCTCGGTTGTCACCCTGGACAGAGTGGCTCGACTCGCGTCTATAATGGGCGCCAGGCTGCGATCCCATTGCATTCGGGTTCGGAGGGACAGAGCCCTGTCTCATGTGGCGCTACGAGAATCAGAAGTTAGTGGTGCCGTGTGCTTATAGCTTGGCGTGCCAAGGGGGGAAGGTTGAGATGTGGGAACAGCGAAGGACTGGGGCATTCTAGTCTTTTTTTTGTTCTTCATTTTCTTACCTCGCCATCGCTACTGAGACTGCCAAATGTCATCTGGCCACTGGCTGGGAGACCGGAAGGAGGTCGACCACCGCTGGCAGATGGCTGGGGAATCGGAGACGGAGAGTGTGCGGGCGAAGGCACGCGATGGTTGCCAGCTCCAGGAATAGGGATAGGAGCAGCATTAGCAGTGTGAGGAGTGCTGTGTGCCATGGCAGGCGAATCGAAGCCAAACTGAATGCCAGATTTGGCACCGCCATTGGCAGCGTAGGAGTTGGGACCGTTGGCAGCCATGGTGACGGAAACTTTTCTCGAGTGGTCCGCGCCGGAGCCGTTGGTAGAGCTACCGCGGGCAACAGCAGGGACAGCAGGGGCGACGGCTGGTTTGCCGTTCACAGAAGATGACGAGGAGGTGTTCGCATTCTGTGCCAGAGAGGCAGAAGAAGAACCAGCCACGACAGGAGGTTGGGAACCAGTTGCGACTAGGGACGGTTGAACAGCTTTCTTAGGCGCACCTGCAGCGGAGGCATAAGAAGTCGCCGTGGTCGCGGAGGTGTTGGGCGCCGGGATCGGGTTCTGCTGATTCGCAGGCGACGTCATAAGGGGAGAAGTTTTGTCGGATCGCAAGAGGATTGACGAGGAGGCTTTTGTTGATGCGGAAGGCCGATGGGACGGATGCCGAAATCAAAGAGGGCGGCGGATTGAGGTCGAGAAACTTTTTTATGGAGTCTCGCTGCTCGCTCTCGAAATGTGGTGGACTCGACTCCAAAGCAGCAAAAAAAAAACCAGGTTTGCTGTTGAAGAAGAAAACGAACAGGTCGCGAAGAAAGGCACGCGAAAATGATTAAATAAAGAGCTGGCAACTGATGGCAGTTTGGAGAAAGACAAATTCCCAAAGCAAGCCAGAAGAAAAAAGGGTCAAGGAGTGGAAAAAAAACCGACCAGGCGCGGACCGCAGGCGTCGCGAGGCACGAGGAGCACGGCGGAGGACGAGGACGGGATCCTGGATCTGAGCAGAGGGACTATTAGTCTTCTGGTAAGCGAGACACAGAAGAAGAACCCAATACCAACGGAGGGGAGAGGGGAGAAAAGGGTCTGGTGAGGAAAATAATCCACCTAGACCAGACGGTGGTGTTTTGGTTGGAGTGGTGAGGGTTTGGGAGGAGATTCTGCAAGAAAATTTTGGGCAGCAGGGTTATTAGTATGGGAGCCTGGCTCTGGCTGGGAAACGCGGGAGGCCGTGGACAGCATGGGAGCGCATGGGAGCCTCAGATGGGCGGAAGGGGAAAGAGCCGGGACCGTCAAGGAGTCCCCTGCCGCGACAACTGGTCTGGCGGCCGCTGGCCCGTGGCCCGTGGTCATGGCACTCGACGTCCACTGGAGGCGGCCGGCTTAGGGCAGGCAAGCGCCTGTTCGGGACTGCCCGTAGCGCTCCAGGGCTGCGGCCCAGTGCACCATGAACACTGGTTGACCACACAATGTGTACATGTACAGTGGGTGTAGTTGACGCAGTGAACGGTGCGACACACCTTCAGCAGGCTAGCCCCCGTAGTGCGTCACTACTGCTTCTGTGCACACTGTGCATGTACGCACTCTCGTCACCTGCTCATACAGTGCGCTGTCAAGGACATTTTTGAAGCACGACACACTGACGCCAAGTGGCCGTCACTCAACCCTACTCCGTACTGGTCTGCTCTCTCGCGCGCCACCTTTCGAGAGAAACTTTTTTACAAAGCAGTCCAAACAACTTTTGAGCTTAGTGAACCAACGTTGTCGATTTGATAGAGTACGGCGCCGAGTCTCTTCTTCTTAGACGCTTTTGGGCGCAGGCGCTTGCTCCCCAGCTGCCAGCCAACCAACCAGCTCGTTCGTCGTCACTTCCACGGAGCGATGAGGGTTCAATGCCGCATCGCCATCTGCTGAGTACTTGAGTACGCAGGTACCAAGGTTTGCACAAAGCATGAAGCCTATTCCAGTAGTGTGGGTTTGGATGTTTCTGCAAAACAATTGTGGCGTGTTTCCTTCTGCCGATGCCGTTGCTGGACCGGTGCGCATGGCTGCACGGCGACCAAACCATGGCAATAATACTCCGTACTCTGTATAATAGTAGTAACTGCGGACGGAGTACGGGCAGAAGACTTGGCACGGGTTTGCCTTTATGCAGCACATTACGGCAACTTACGCTGTCTGTGACCACAAGGCAAAGTATTTTGCCTGGTTGGCGGCCCAGGGACACGGCACAAGGAGGACTCTTGCGTCTTCTCAGCTGTCTGAGCCGTATTTGATTCACCGTCAGTACGTCGTCACTCACTTACAGTGCCTAGTGATGAGTCGCATCTCCGGGATTACAGAGCCAGAGGCCTATTGATTGTTTCCAGATAGTACAGTGCACCACCGAAGGTCACTCCGGTGCCGTCTCTCGAGTGTCCAAGTGCTGCTCACTCAAGTGGGCGAGTGTGTGATGTGTGTGATGTCTCGTGGGCCGCGACATTGAGCAAACAGTAAAACAAAGGTCATTGCCCACACAAGTGACATTATACGGAGCATTATTATTAGACTATTTTGCGACGCACATTCCGCAACACGGCGAGACATGATTCGTCATGGTTCGACACTTGGATGGGAGTCGGGCAGGAAATACAAAGGGAAACCTTGTCACCACCTGAGCACTATATGTGTCCTGGGAGGCAAGTTGCCGCTTGCCTTGTTGCCGCCCCTGTTGGCTGCCAGTCGCCAACTCGTCGTGACAAAAAGGTGGTGATGAGTGAGTGGGTCCTGCAACCACTTCAATTTGGCCCAGAGCTCCCACGATAAGCTACTTAAGTAACAATGAGCATGGTAACCGTCTGGAGTACGTTACTGCGTGCCGTACAGTAGCAGTAACTCGAGGCTGGACAGGTTCCATGCCTGGTCTCAGACCTCAGGCCTCAGACCTCAGACCTCAGGCAGCTGAGGTGTTCGCGACACATTCGCGTCTCTTAGTAGTTACTAGAGCACGCCGGCATGGTTCCGTGCTTGGCCCCATGTCCCACATCGAAGTTTCGACGCCAGGGTTGCTCAAAGTACGGACAATGTAGCTTCGATATGACTCTTTGGTCAAAATAGTACAACACGGAAGGTAATTAGAAAAGCAGAGTTGCAATCTTTATGCGTCTCTCAAGTTAAGTTTGTGCTACCCTATCCAACTGTCACTTAGCATTGCCGGTCCCAAGCCGCAAATCCAAAGAGTTTCCTAGACTCCGGTGACCCGAGGACATACCTGCATCGTGCAAAGGTACCGTGAAGCGAGAACAAGAAAAGAAAGTGCCCTCCTGAAAAGGGGGCTGGGAGTTTAAAGAAAAAAGGGCAAGAAAAGTAAGCAAAACGACATGCTGCACACCACGGGAACCAACATGGCGGCGGGCACAGCCTGGCATGACATGTCATGTGATGTCATGTGTAGACACAAATCGTCGACCCTATAGCCCTAGCAACATAGGTCAGCCCTCTTAGCAAGACGCTAGTTGCGGCTCCCAGCATACCTACCTGGGTAGGTAGTATTATTGATTCGACCGACATGCGCCCAGCAGACATGGAGATGACCACCTTACAGATACTATAATACCCGTCACTGATTGCACTCTGTCCATTATCATGACTCACAGACGAGGCAGCAAATGCCATCACATCCTGCATTCCCATCACCCAGTTCCAACCAAGAGCGCACCCAGTCCTCGCCAACTCCGTGGTTTCGGGACAGGCTGTGTGTCATGCGAGACTCTCCTACAGCAGCAACCTCACACGTGCACCGGCGTCAACGACAACGCACCGAGTCAACTTCTGGATACACACATGTCCTGCTCCCTGCACCTGCAGACGCTGCGAGAAAGGCCTGCCCAATGAAATACTCGGGCAGATTGCTTTGGGAGCGGGCGCTCAACCCCCAGAACACTGGCCCGTCCCCTTTATAAAGCTCCTGACGGAGCGTGTGACAGACACACCCACCCCTTTTCCATCCTTTTTCCCTTGCCTCCTCCCCATGATTTGCAAGGCATGAGGGATGGGTGAATCACAGTCATCCATCCATCCTCTACTGGCATCTGTAGAAGGGGGAAACTCACTCCCTGTACCCCAAGTTTATAGTTATATAGGTATGCATGCTAACGCAGCACTGGTTCACAAGACCTTGGCGAGCTGGCGAGCTGATGAGCTGGCGAAATCTGAGGCCGAACCCCAAAAATGGCATTGGCTACTCGCAAATTGATCATCGCCCTCCTTTGCACCACGAGGACTCATGCAGATCGCCCGTTCCAATGCCGGTGGGGTGGAAATATTGAAGTGCCCTTCACGCAGGAGAGCCGACGTAGTGATAATACCTAGTCAGCTCGAGCCCACTCACCTTGATCATAGACACACCTTGCGCGACAACGCACACCAATGTTACTATAGAAGGACACGTGTATATACGTATTCAAGCTGAAAGACCTATAGTGTCAGGAACAGAAGCACACAGTCAATGGGACAAGAAAGATGACACATCTATCCATCTTGTCAACTATCCCTCAAAGTACAAAATGCTCTGCCAAATATCAAACCCCGGTTCACGCCCAAATCTCAACAACTAATTCTTGTTTTCGCCTTCGCGAACCTCCAGAATATCTGGCTCTACTTCATTTTCATCTTCGTCATAGTATGTGGCTGGTGCTTCATCTTCATCTGCCTCTTCGGAAATTGTTTCTGGGACAGTCGTAGCAGATTCTCCTCCTTGCGCCTGCAGTTGTTGAAGCCTGGTGTTCGTCATCTCAAACACATATTGTCCCAAATGCTCGACATTTTCCATTACCACTTCCCCTTCCACAGGCGAGTTATCCTCCAAGTTCGGTCTCTCCGTCGGCCACATCTCCCCTGTTACAAGCATCAGCTTGTCCGGCCGCCCCAGGAGGAGATCAAATGCAGGTCGAAGCTCGGGGCACGCCTCAAATACCTCCCTGCGGCCAAGAATATACAATCCAAGTCTGGCACGAGAAACCGCAACCGTCATACGGCGGACATCGCGCAAGTAACCCACACGCGACGTTCTAGTCAGGGACAATATGATAACTGCCATACGACAATTAGTACAGGTAGGAGTAGTACCTCAGGCCGCGGGGGGGCCAGCATGGGGTTGATGCATTCGTTCTAAACTTACAATCATTCTGTTCGCCTTGATACTTGTCCACCGTGGCAACAGCCTTAGGAAGACCGAAAACGGGGTTCTTGGCACATCTGTGAGCAAGTACATCCTTGACCAGAGCTCGTTGCCCGGCGTAGGTCGTGAGGATGCTTATCTTCCCCGCAGGGTATCCTAGCAAGCGCATGTACTGATAGATGGCCACTGCATACTCTGCCTCGCCCAAGTTTTGAATGAAATGTGGTGTCGGTTCTGATTCTCCATGGCCCTTGTAGTCGGGTACGTTGATAAACTGGTAATCGAACTTGAAGCCAGCATTACCTCTGAGATATTCGGCTTGGTTCTGCACATGTGGCAAATTATCCAGCTTGGGATACCGCCATTGATAGAGTTTCGCGATCGAGGGACGAGCACGTCCCTGTTGATCAAGGTTGACGGTCGGGACCCCGAGCCGGACTAGGCGAGAAAATAGTGACTGTTCTAGGTTGGCATAGTGGCGAAATGCTAAACTTTGAATGACTGGTGAGTTCTGGAGGTGGTCACCGCACAGAACGACCCGCTTCAATGGCATTTGGTTATTCGTCGGCTTTTGCATGGCGAGAGGCATAAATGTTTCAACTTCGGTAATTTGGGCCGCCTCCTCCATGATGACGTTGTCATAATGGAAGCCAAGTGAGGCAATCTCACTTCGTCGAATAGCAGCATGAGTTGTTGTCATGGCGATGATTCTAGCCTCATTGGTGAGCAAGTAGTTGGCCTTTTCTCGGTCACGGCGAAGGATTTCAAATGGAACAATATCGGCCAACTCTGAGAATATCTTGCTAATATGCCGGTAGCAGCCGTTGGCAATGTCTAACGTTGCCTCACGATCAGCATCCTCCGGGAACAGTGGTTGGGGCGCGTCGGCAAAGTATGCATGGAATGGGAAAGCCTTCACAAGGTCTGGGACAGAAGTCTCGCCTGACGTTGCGGCGTGCTGGAACCTTTTCCAAGCCGGTTCCACGTAGACCTTATTAAAATAGCCAGCAGTCTCTGCCGAGTTATCATGTGCACCTGGTGCCCCGAGGCTTGAAGCGAGTTTTCTGACTTCTTGTAGAAACGTCTGCCTGTTATCAAGGAATGATTCAACACGGCCATGTTTGCTGAAGCTTCCATCCGTGTCCAACTCTTCTTCTCCATGTCCCAAACGGAGCAGGTGTCTCTCGTCAATATCCAGTGCGACAATCTTGGCAAATAATTGGTTGAGTGCCTGATTACTGTGCGCAATAAGTAATGTCTTCTCTTGTGGGAAGTTATGGTAGATGTTGTTGATAATTTGAGTAGCCACATCTGTCTTTCCTGTTCCAGGGGGGCCGACGATCACTGTTAGCCCAGGCTGCGATCCAGACATGATAGCCTCGATCTGAGCAGGCGTGAACCGGACTGAATTCATCTTGGGCACGTCGACGGGGTATGGGCCATTATTTGGTGGCTTATATGTCGATACTTTAAAGGTATCAACCTCGGACTTCATCGTGGGCTCTGCGTCGCGTCGGCGCTTCTTTGATGGCCTAGAGCCATTAGCCGCCTCTACCTTGCCAGCTTCTTCTAGAACATATGGAGGGCCGAAGCTGCCCATAACATCGCCCCCCGGCTCAACAGTTTTGCCCGGCAAGCTTTCAACCAAGTGTTGCCAGTCAAGAAAGGTGTCCCGGTAGTCAAGCTTCTTGTTTCGGTTGGACAGGTTCTTGTAGTTTGCAGCCGCTGGATCGCCGTATCCTAAGAAGACTTCATGCAGCCATGACGGGAGAGGCATTTCCGACAAAACGAGCTTGCGAATAGACTCCAAAACTGGTTTGAAATTGTTTTCTCTTCGTCCCCTTCTTAGTAGCAAGTTTATTTGGCCGTACACATCAGGTTTGCCTGCTGATGCGCGCTCTGAATCTCTGGAGTACATGTATGAGTCCAGTCTGAGATGCATCCTGCGCTTGTTGTCGAGATTCACAGAGCCATCCCTGACGTGGCGCCCCTTTTCGTCTGTGATGTTGATAATTTCGGCAGATCGTACTGATATAACGCCGAGCTTCTCATGCTCAGACCGAATGTCATCACCGTTAGCAGAGGCGTGTGAGGACGGTGCTTCAACGGCCAACAGAAATACAACATCGTCAGGGCGGAGATTGTCCCATTCTCGTCGAATATTCTGTCCTAAGCGTCGAACATCAAACGAGATCTCAGCTTTCACCATTGACGGAAGCTCTTCTCCCACTAGCGGGGGGACAACTTCCAGAATTGACGGTTTGGAAATAGGCAGTGCCATTTTGGAGAATCCTGCAAAGTTTGTCACGCCGGGCTGCTTAGACTCCGGTCGCAGGCGGCGCAGGGCCGATTCCACATCCTTTCGGATGCCGTAGAATGCCTCGCAACGATACAAAATCATTGCCCTCCATAGGAAGTCTCCAGCAGATAAGTACTGCAGGTTCAGCTTGGGCAGGGCCAGAGGGTGCGATCCATCGTACGCATCTGCTCGCTGGGAGCCACTGTCAAACAAAGTTCGTTCGGTTGGCACTAACGGCATATACCGAGCGGTCTCACGGAAGGTTTTCTTGCGCTCGAATTTACTCAGCATGATTTCGATAAGCAACTTGCGATCGACTGGGAGTGCAAGAGACTCCGGATATGTAGATCGCATGTCGAGAAGTGTGAAGAGCTGTGTGAGTTCTTCATCCGTCAAAGGCTCAAGCAGACTTGCAAGTTCATCTCTCTTCTCAATACCTCCGTAATTTGAGAGGGCCAAGACCATGAGTTTCTCCTTGAAATGCTTGAGTGCAACTCGTTGCAACTTTCCAAGGGTTGCACAGTGCTTGTCGTATGCCTCCGTCATGGTCAGTTGAACTCCAGTTTGGTCGTCAATAGTAAAATGGGTATAATGCAACAAAAGAGAGTGCAAATCTCGCAGCAGCGAATTGTTCTCGTTGTTATATGTGGGCGAAAGTTTCATGACAGGTAAGACGTGTAAGTCTTGGAGAAGCGTATTGACATAGCGTCTTGTAGGCAGCTGGCTTTGAAGATCGGTAATGAATTCAGTAAATCTCTCACAATACAAAGCTTCATCTAGAACAACGCATCAGTCAAGGTGCACAAAGCAGGTAAAGAAAGAAATAGGGGGGGTTAAGCTAAACTCATACCTGACTTCGTAGCATCGTCGTATAAGATACCTAAGAAGTCCAGAAGTAACGAATAGAGCCAGGATCTCTCGAAGCGAAGTCGAGCTTTGGTAGCATCATCTGCTGCGTCATAACGCTTCTGGGATGCCCTCCAAGCCTTTCGCAAATGGGTATTTTGGTCCAGTAAGGTCTCTCGCTGGGTCGCGCTAGACAGATTCTGCCAGATTCCTATTGACACCAGCGGTGCGCATTCTTTTCTGACAATGGAGCAATCTAGGCTCTGGAATGCGTAAATCAAGAAGCAAAGAAGGTGCGTTCGTATAGAAGTAGAGAGGGTACGATCGAGCAACAGCGACAGGACTCGACGGAACATGGACGAGAAATCATCAGGTCTTTCTTCAAACAGGCCTGCAAACAACGTCAGTTGGAATATGCCTTTCTAATTGACAAGGCTCTCTATACTCACTCCATGTCTCCAGATGTTCGCGCCGTTTCACGTTGGCTATCAGTACAATCAAAAGAACATGAAAATTGGACGATTCATCGGTATATCCCGGCCAAAGATAGCTGTTACATAAACAATATTAGCTGAGGCTGCCTGACTACGAGTGCTACAGCCTTATACTTGCCTCTCCAATGTTTGCAAGCTTTCCAAAAGGAGAAGCGACTTATAGTGGAAGCCATCCTGTTCCAGCACATCCCAGATGCCCTGCTTCAGAACATCATTCTTGACCTTGGACTTGACAGTCCTTTTCCCTGGCTTTAACCAGTGACTCCTCGCGAGTTGAACAAGCTGGTGCTCCTCTTCTTCGACTTCGGCGGGAGTCGGGCGTTCGTCTGGGACATTGGTGGCGGGCTCGCGGGCCTTGCCAGCTTTGGCTGCACCACTGCCCTTGAGGCGCTTGGCGTTAGGCATTGCGGCTTCGTGATGGCGTCATGAGCCTATTCAGAGCTCCAGCATGAGGGGAGGACAGTGATGGCAGCTCGGTGTTGGCGCAGTAGCAAAGCTGCGAGTCGATGGTGGAAAAGTCAACATGCAGACGTCGTCGCATGCTCAGACAAGATTGAACTGGCAGAGGTCCATCGATTGGATGGCGTCGACTTGGGAGACTAAAATTTCAGCCTTGCATGAGACCCACAGCCAGCCAGGGCCAGGTTGCCTGGGTTTATTGATTGTTGACCTCCACTGGTGAGTGCCCCACCAAGGCCCGCTGTCTTGTACAAGCTTGAGGTGTCTTGTGCTGTCTTACGGCCTGGTGCAACCAGACGCCCATTGAGTCTGGTCAATGCCACCAGATGCCCTGCGACGCCCTGCAATGCGCTGCGCTACAGTGGGCTTCAGAGTGCCCGGGGCCAAACGGGCCCTATATTGAGTGCACCTAGGTGCCTGCATGTGGCCCCATCAATGCGATCGATTGTCAGCCAAGGCTGTTCTTTGATTCCACGAGCTTCAAGTTCAGATCTCCACATGTCTGGTTCAAATGCTCCAGCAATCAAACCCACGTCAACTTCAAGGCCTTCCTGTCAAGCCTCGCCTTCAGCCTTCCGCACCGTACAACTACCTCACGATCCCGACTGTAATCATTGCACCGAACAAAAGTGCTGCTTCATGCGGCAGTCAATATTGACCGGCCCTGTAGAAGACGGCACAAAGGCAACATAAGCCGTCGTCACGCCACAACCATCGTCCGCCGCGCGCAACAAGGCCGCATCACACAACTCACGAGGAGCCAGCCTTGGTAAACGTGCCTACCTCGATACCGAACCGACTCGCATTTGTTACGATGCCGGCTCTCCATGTTCAAAACCCAGGCGTCTCTGCAGTCGCGAGATTTGGCTTATTATTAGATCAGTTCCTAGCTGAGGCCGCCGTCGTGAAATCGACTGCTACAATCGAGCCCACCCTCAACAAGTCTGATTTCAAAGACATAACCGGCCGGGTACGTACATGTTTCCCCAGCGATGCCGCTACTGGGGAAAACGGAGGAGGAGAAGTTTCTGGCCTTCACGAACAAGAAAAGGCGAAGCAATTTGCTATCATTGAGACCGCCTCGCGGGACTTGTTTGGCAACCTCATTGTAAGTAATCCTAGACCCGCGGGCCGACATTACTCGTGTCGAGGCTGATTTTTCAAGGCTGCGACTCCCATCGAATCACCTGATTTCGTCAAGATGTGGAATCTACTCGACATTTTATCAATATTGTCCGACGACGGCCAATGCGATCCGGCACTACTGTTTTGGCTCGTCGAAGAACTGCTCGACAGCCAGACCATTTCGGGATGTCGCATAGTGTTCGACTATCTCGAGTCACGTCGTGAACGCATCACGTCCAAACATTTCAAGCAAAAGCATCTGGTAATTCTGCGAAGCTGCAACGAACTCTTGCGGCGCCTATCAAGAGCTGAGGATACAGCCTTCTGCGGACGGGTATACATCTTCTTATTTCAGAGCTTTCCCCTAGGTGATAGAAGCTCTGTTAACCTTCGAGGGGAATACCACGTGGAAAATGTCACAGCTTTTGAGGGGTCGGCAGAAGAGGATGAGCAGCAGCGAGAGTCAAAGATGGAGGTCGACACGCCTGCAGAGACTCCCAAGTCATCAACGGATACCAAGGCATCTAACAAGGGCGTCAGCTTTGATTCCAAAAACTCAGAAAAGCCGTATGATCCGGACCGTCTCTACCCTCTATTTTGGTCTCTCCAGGAGAGCTTCAGTCAGCCACTTAAACTGTTTGACTCTACACATTTCAACAAGTTCAAGAGTCGTTTAGAGGTTACCATCAAAGCTTTCCAGGCCATCCATCAAAACGAAGTGCCATCCAAGTCATTGGAAAATCCCAGGAGAAACCTTAAGCGGAAAAGGGACGACGAGGGGTCTGAGGACGCCCCTGAAGCATTCAATCCCAAGTACTTGACCAGCAAAGATCTCTTTGAGCTTGAGGTGTGCATGATACCTCCATATTTACCCTACAATGCGCATGATGAACATTTGGCTAACTAGAGACACAGATTAGCGATCTCTCATTTAGACGCCACATCTTGGTACAGGCACTCATTATCACGGACTTTCTTCTGTCGCTTTCCATGGAGACAAGGGAGAAGTTGGCCGGCCTCAACACTCCTCCGCCAAACAAATCAGTCGTTTACAACGATCAGCTGAGCGAAGAAAATGTAGGTTGCATCAAATCATAGAGACGTAAAAATTGTTCTCCTGGTTTCTCTAACCAGGTCATAGACGAAATGGGCAACTGAGATGAAGTTAACCATATCAGACTACCTTAAGAGGGGCATTGACGGACCATACTTCTATCGGATGGTCGAGACCGTCCTAGCTCGAGACAAGAACTGGGTATTCTGGAAGATGGCATCCTGTCCACCTATTCAACGAGACCCTGTTTCTCCAGAGCTTTTTGTTGAGGCGAGGACCACGGCCCAAAAATTAGCAACCAGCAAACGACTGCGACCAACGCCCATGGGATCTGTATCTCTCGAGTTCCTCCGAGACAACGACGAGTGTTGCTTGGACCAGCTCAAGACGCCTGAGAGATATCAAATTCCAGAACTTGAAAGCTTTCAAAGAAAGATTGCCGATGACGACTTTGAAATCGAGATGCCAACAAATGATCAAACAAAGGCCGCCGCCATAGCCGGCAAAGCAAGCAAGAGTTGGCGGGCTCTAAGAATAGCGGCCCGCTCAAAATTAGCATCCTTTGATAAAATTGACGACTCCAAGAAAGTAGACATCATATTCCACGAGCTCCAAGACGAAGACCAAGACGAAGCCGACGATGAGCAGGCAGCAGCTGAGGACGACATGCCCGACAATCGCAGCCCCATTATCATATCTGGCCCCAAAGGTGTTGGCAAGTCCGCCCTTATCAACAGCCTCATCAAACAGCACAAAGGCGTCTTTGCAACAGTCGTACGACACACGATTCGAGAGCCTACAGAGGGCGAAGTCAAGGGCACGAGTTTCCACTTTGTTTCCGCTCAGGAATTCAACCAGCTACGCGATGGCGATCGCTTGATCGAGTACGGGACTAGAGATGGCAGCGAGTACGGCACGAGCAGTAAAGCTGTTGATGCGGTAGCCGAGTCTGGCAAGGTCCCCATCATTGAGCTAGACCTCGAGGTATGATTCCTAACCCCTGCAACTAATCCCAACTACGACAATCACAAACAACAACATGTGTCTAGTTCAAACTGACCAATCACTACGCGGCAGGCCGCCCAATTTGCCAGAGACATGGACTTTTCAGCTCGCTATATCCTCATTAAACCCCCGCCTGCTGAAGCATACCAAGCCCGTCTCTCGTCCTCCGGTTACGACGTCACCGTCATCAAGGGCATTCTGTCCAGACTACCCGAGGAATTAGATGACTCTAGAGTCTCTGCACTTTTCGACGTGACCATCTCCAATGAAGACGGATTAGAAGACGTCACCACGTCACTGAGTGAATACATCTTTTCAGAGGGAGACCAGGTAAACGGAGAGGAGAGCAAAGGCGGAGAAGGGGACGATACCTTAGGGGAAGGAAACCAAGATGCGCAGGGAGATGAAGCAGCATCAACTATAGCAGCAGCTACGTCTACTGGGACCGAAGCTGAGGTTGCTGAGGACGAAGGCATGAAGGATGTACCCGAGAATGAGGCGGAGTGAAATGACGATGATGCGGCGCAGTGGAGAATTGAACATAGACACTCAAGAACGATGTAGAATAAATACCGTGCCACTTGGCCATGATTTATCGTCACCAGTTCCGTTCCAGGCCTTGGCCATCTGATTTCATGGCGATTGATCATCAACAAGTGGGAATAAGGAGCCATCACTGGTATAGCAGGATGCAAGCAAGCGGTTGTTCTCGACTATACTACTCTGTGAAATACAATACCACAACAAGCAGTGACCTACACTAGGAATAGACCATCTCACAACGTTACAGGCAGTCTGAAGACAAAGAAACCCTCCTTTTCTCCTTCCAGTCTCTCATATTGGCATGATTTTGTTCCATCATTCCAACCATCACCAAGCAACTTGAAAACATCCTAGGACAATGAGAGGAGACAGATGATGACCAAGATTACTCATCCTCTTCCTCATCAGACTCTTCCTCGTCGGCTTCCGCAAGCCATTCGAGAAAAGGCTTGGCAGCCTGACGAATCTTTCTGGAAGTGTTCTTGTCAGTGTATTTCTTGCTGGCGTGGGTGCCCCATTTGGTAACCACCTCCTCGCTTATAAGGTCATGGTGGTAGTACAGCTGCAGAATTTTGACAATCTGCTGCAAGAAGTCTGGGTTCGACTCGGCCAGGGACCCAACCAGACGCTCAGTACCTCCGAGAAGCGCCTTTTCATGACGCTCAGAGTTGATGATCTGCCAAGTATGTTAGTGAATCAAGGGTATGTGGTTCTGTGGCTCAATCTCCCTAACACATCTTGATCTACATACCTGCTTGAGCATGCCAGCGCGCTTCGGAATCTGGGCGCAAACATTCTTATCAAAGAGAACCTGAGCAAGCACCAAGACCGTGCGGTGCTTGTTTTCGATGCCCATATCCTTGGCCTTGAGATAGATTTTGATGGAGTCAACCTCGTCAATGCCACCCTTCTCTTCAGCCTCGGTCTGGATCCAGGTTCCAAACTCATCGTAGACAGTGTTGCCGCCCTCACCGTCATCCTCCTCGTCGTTGAGGCTCAGCTTCTGCTTGAACTCGCCGGGAAGTTGGGCCTGGCGGGCCTTGACAGCTTCCTCGCTCATATCCACAGCCCATTCGTCGTCCTTGACCTGGACAGCAGCATCTTCGATGGCCTCAGCCTGTAGCTTGTTGAACTCATGGTCGCTAACAGCATCACCATTTTCTTCATTCTCGTTGGAGCCATTCTCGGAACCTTCGTCGCCACCACTGACATGGCCGTTCTCGGTGGCAGTACCGTTCTGCTTGGCTTTCTTGGCTGCTCTGCGCTCAGCCTTGTCCTTCTTGTTCTTCTTGCTGGGCTGGTTCTTGAGAATGTAGCCACTCAGCTTGAGGCGCAGGTCAACAGCGGTACGCTGACCACAGGCCTTGCAGTCCAAGAGAATGCGGTCGTTGTCAATCTTGATGTCGGTCTCGGGGTTCTTGCAGCTCTTGCAAAGAACGAACTTGTTGATGAAACCATCGAGATGGTCCTGGAGCTTTCCAGCCTCATGAGCACCGTTGATGATCCAACGGTCGTCCTTGATGTCATCTCTGGTCATGGCACCAAGTTCGAAGCCAAAGTATTTCATGATGTATGACGCAGGGCGAGCAAGAGACGCAGCAACGCTGGAAACGTTGACAACAACGGTCTTGATACCGTTACCTTTTCCCTCAACTTTGGTCTGCAAACGCTCCATCTTATAACGATAGAAGGCGTCGCTGACGTCGCGGCGAACGTTGATGAGAGACATGATGGCGAGTTGAACGATGGTAAGACAAAGGCGAGGCTCTTTTTTTTTGGGTGTTTTTGTCGATGTGGTATAAGAGTTGACGAGAAGTCGAAGGTTTTGTGAGAAACTGAAGCTGTGAAGCGAGTTGCAAGGGGCTCTAAAGCGACGGGTTCGGCATGAAGGTTTGTTTCTGGGCTTGGGAATAGTTGACGAGGATGGTTGAGCAAGAGGAGATATCAGGGCTCAACAAGACGATCTATGTTTGACATGGGGCAAACGGGACGGTATCTCGGCAAACAGTAGGGTAGGCATGAACTCGAGTTTGGGAGTCTTCAGCCGTCGGAACTGATTTTTGGGCTACAAGGTTTTCGCGGTATGCGAAATAACTGCAGCTTGAAGAGGGGTCCGGGTAGAGTGAGCTGATCGTGCTGATACATAAACAGCAATATGCGCCCGATAGTCGCTAAGTGTTCTTGGTTCTGCTATACAGTGAGGAAGTTTCAAAGACTGCACGTGGGGAGAAATTGATCGTTGGCGTCTTCAACCAAGTCTCGGCGTAGTCAAGTGCGAGAGCAAGATGAATAGGTAGAGGTTGTGTTTCTGGCTTGCGGAAAAGCGGGCGAGAAGTTGAGGTTGTTGCGCTCCGACCGATGGGAGAGTCAACAGGCTAAATGACGGCTTTACTGGGGTGGTAAACGGGTATTGCGAGTGCAGTGAAAAATCCGGCGACGGACAATAGACTTATCTCCGAACAAAGATGAAGTTTGTTGGGTGTCAGCGTGTGGGAGAAAAAGGCAGGATGAAAAAGAGAATGGGACGTGGGAGGGACGGAAAGACAAAATGTGGACTGGAAATTCTGGCAGAGATTTCGGCCAGAGAAGCAAGGTGGGGTTCCGGAACTTTCGAAGGCAACGCGGCAAATGCAGGGCCAGGAAGGCACGAGGTGAGGTGAGGTGGCGTTGGTAGTTGCCTAGTCGGTCCTTGGCAACCAGGGTCCTGACATGAAGCCTTTTGTGCATGTGCAGACGGGACAAGTGATACGAAACTTGAAAGGCTACAAAGGGTCTCAGTGACAAATACAGGACAAGGCTGTTTGTACTATATAACGTCCGTCGTTATAGCGAGGCCTACTGCTTATTTTTGATCGTGACTCCTTTTGTTGAGCATGGATATTCTTGCCAGGAAAACAAAAGATGGGGCACAAAGCAATTAGAACAGGCAACGCTACGACTGAAAGGGACTTGCACGAGGCCTTGCAGAAACTGTGAACACAGCAGCTACTCGGAGCCAGAAGGTGAAGTTCTATCAATAAATCGAGACCAGACCTTTGTGGTGCAAGCAATCATTGCCGCTGATCTAGTCACGTGATTGGGCCAGGCGATGGCATTCAACCTCCTCTACGGAGTACGGAGTAGTTCAACACAAAAAAAAAAACTATGGCAACGACCTCTAGAGGAGGGTGTACAAAGAGAAGGACATGTTCTTGGAGATGAGTGAACACCAGCTTCAGTAACAGCTCCTAACCAGAAGCCAGCGGGGCCAACGGCTACAGAACACTCATGGCGCTGTTGTGCGACTCAACGGGATGCTGAGCAGTTGGCCTCGTTGTATGGTAACGTCACAGCATCGGTTCATCGTGTCATTCGGGAAATCCGACACTACATTAAGGAAAGAAAACAGAGCAAAAATGGACGGGTAGGGGCGGAAAAAGCGGTTAGACGAGTCTCAAAGAAGGCCGAGCGGTGGGTTGGATACGCAACTGTCGTTGGACTTCCAAGGCGTGTCTAGGCTGCGTGTGCCCCGAACCAGGTGGAAAAGGCGGCACAAGGCCGCCTCCGCAAAGACATAACAACTTCACAATATCACGTCTTCTGCCTGGCTTTTCTCCCCTGACAATTGCTTTCTTTGTGGCAGGTCACCACCAGGACGACAACATGGAACACAGACAAAGCCCGCAAGCTTCTGGAACTGAACCTTGAACAAGGGTATCCTTCACGCTCTGGAAAAGAACCTCTACCACATTTGACTTGAGATGATGACAAAATTCACAAACGCCACGTACTATCTTGTCAAGACGGCGGCAACGACTCCAAACAGAATTGGCCTGCCTCGGTTGAATATAAGGGGTGATTGAAAGATTTTGCCCTACTCCTGATAACAGCGAGAAAAGAAACTAGAGATAACTTTTGAAAGAGAATTAATATTAAAGAAGACAACGACACGCGTTAGGCAGATTAGCTCTAATGTGCTATTATCACTGGCTTTGCGCGTAAAGAGGTTGAATGAAATTACGCCAAACTTACCGCTGTAGCTTTCATTAAACGGAAATCGTATTTATCAACGCGACCCATCCCGATTTGACCTATACAAGGTCTATACGCACATGTGGACATGCCTGAATGGGCGGTATTGGAATAACAGTGATGCCTTTGTCTAGTGACGACAATCAAAACGGGCCCTGGATTACTGACTAGCTGAAAAGATGTTGGGCAATGTTCTCGGGAAATGGTGGCTTGCATTCAAGGCGATGGCTATATCTCCAGGGCCATGGGAAAATATTCACATCTCTTCTCGCGGAGAATTCTTCTAGAGAACTTGTTTGGCATCATGTATTTTCATTTTCTCTCCGTCTCGTGCTCTCTTTTTCTAGCTTTGCTGGTTCTGTCTTCTTTTGCCTTCGAATACCGATAGCAGCTACAGTCACCGAGCCACTCAATAATAAATTGTATTTGTCCAAAAAAGAAAAGAAAAGAAATGAAGATGGCCATCAGGCCTTCTACTGTAAAAGTCCGCAAGCGAGCCAACAGAGTCAACGAAAGTCATGCACATGTGTACATGTGTACAGAGAGCTCGCCGTGGATATTGTAGCCGTTGGAAGTATATGGTCCATTGACTCAGGCGCATGCTTACGGAGTGGTTCAATGTGTTCTGTCCGTGTCCGTTTGTGTGTCCGCATCTGCATCTGCATCTGCATTTGCATCTGCACTATGTAGTTGGTCCTCGGAACTGTCGCCGATTCGGCCAACCGCCGACGTGACGATGCAACAGATCATGACCTGCCAGGTAGGTATGCAAGCGGAATGCCCGATATTGGCTTTTTTTAGATTGACACTGACAGCGGCACGAGTCGCTCTTCTATCAATAGAGAGTACGCCACTCCATTACTCCATCCACACGTAGTCGTGTCACAAACATCTCCAGATATCTCGCTGCCACGTTTCACGTTCCATCCCAAGCGGCCCATTGATGCTCGTGCTAAAGAAACGGCTGCCCAACAATCTCCAAGCCCAGTCAGACCAGGCCATCTTGAACAGAACCGGGCACAATGGTCGTTCAATGGCACCGTGGCATCCGCAGGCATTTCGCCACGTATGGCAACCAGAATCGTACAACCGCCACAATGGGCTCTCTATTCTCCACCATCTCTGTCTCCTGTAGCCGTGATGTATCTCTGCCGGTGTCTCCAATCTATGTCGACAGAAAGGTGAGCTGGACTGGGCATCCTCCATAGAGTCGTTTCGGCCGCAGCAGACGCTCAAGACATTCGAAGCCTTCAAGATCCCGGCTACAAATTACAACATGCAACCGCGCGGGGCTCGGATTATTCCAGAAGATTGTACGACTCCATCGACTCAACGACCTCTTGACTCACCTTGTACGACCTGGGGGATTGGCGACCTCGCGCCATTCACAACACCACACAAGCCGTAAATCCGCGATATTTTTAGCCATGAATTTCTTTTGCGAGCGCTATGCTCTTGTTTTTACAAAGGTTTTTTCCGTTTTTATTTTAGGCATCCAGACTAAATCGATATAATGTATCCCCTTTATATCTTCGCCCGAGATGCCCAATCATGATTAATTTACTCAGAGCCGCCCGTGGCCTTGATATCATCATCAGGCAGCAGATGAAACTTGAGCAGGCATTTCTTGCCCAATGGCCGAGTCGAAATAAGCTGGTCCGACATGGCCATGGACTCTGCCGTCATGGAAGCATCCGGCGTCGTGCTATATCGCGAGTAGACATCTCTGAGCAGAGTCTTCATCTCGGCAATGGCAAGACTAGAAAACGCGGAAAACCCAAAGCCGTTAGCATCTGCGGGTGTGGCATAACAGGGGAGAGAGAAGAGACGCAAGTCCAAGCAAGCAACTCACTGTTTGCCAACGCAGCCTCGGCCGCCGTTGGAAAACGCAAACAGCAACCGACGTCTATCTGCGTCCCCCTCGGCCGCCATCCATCTGTCGGGGTGAAACGCGTCAGGGTCCGGAAACACGTCCGTATTCATGCGGTGCACAGAGTACGCTTGACAGCTGACGATTGTCTTCTCGGGGACGTGGAAGCCGTCAATGGTCCGGCCGCCCCGTGGCACGAGGCGAGGCAACGACATCGGGATGGCAGGGTAGTACCTGAGGCCCTCGCACAGGACGGCGTCCAGGAACGGAAGCTGGTCGATGCCGGCGTCGGGGTTCTTTCGTACCTCGTCGGACAGCCTGCGCTGCAGGTGAAGCGACCGAGGCTGGGAGAGCTCCCACATGAGGAAGCACAGCGTGTCGCCGGTGGTGTCGATGCCGGCGACCATGTGGTCCAGGCACTCGGCGGCCATGTCGATGTGGTCGAGGTCGAGGTCGCTTGACTTTTCCTCCAGCCGGCTCATGAGCGTGAAGCTTGCCATGTCGGTGCGCTTGCTGGTCTCCAGGACGTAGTTGTCGGCAAGGGGCACAGATCGCGGCTTGACAAACAGGGATAGGATGCCGGCAAGCAGGCGGTGCAGCGTCGGGCTGTAGTGCGAGATGAGACGATCTGGGAGTTGTTCGTTTTGTTAGCGCATCTGCGGTATTCTAGATCCCGGCTTTCAAGGCGAGGCAGGGACATGTTGGCTTACTTTGCAGACTGTCATCTGCCGCTACCTGGTGCATCATATCCTCGTCTGCCTTTTTCCCGATGCAGTCAGAGCCGTTGGGGTGAAACAGATGGTGAGTGATGCAATCACACGCGTACGCATGGAGAGCTTGATGATGGTTAGCCATGTGGAAAAGAAGCTCTCTCAGCGAGCAGACTTTGTTGGAACATACAAATCTGTGAGCCGTTAGCAGCCAGTCTGTTTTACTTTTTGAAAATCCGACTTGGCCATGGTCAACTCACAAAGATGTCAGTAGCAGAATCACCCGCCTGAGTGCAGCGGTGCAAAAAGGCTCTGGATCGCTCCTGGATGCCGTCCAAGGAAACACTACGCATGATGTTTGTATTGGCATATCGATCTGCGAGGATCCTCTTCCGCTTTGCATGCTGCCACCAGGCCTCGTCGTCAGTACACCATGTTGGCCGCTATACCGTCTCGCCACTTACATCTGCCTTGTTCAGTGTCGTAAACATGGTCCTATTGTTTGAAAAAGACGTGTCAGAATGTCTCTCCTGAAGGTTTTGGTACCCGAAAGAAGTGGGTAACAATCAAGCAAACCTTCTCCCGTAAATCCTAAAGAGATTGTAAAAGTCAGACTTGTCGTAACCGCTCCCGCCAGAGCAGTATATCTCCTTGAGGGCCGGCCATGAAGTGTAGGACACTTCGTTGGGGGAAACTCGCACGCCAGGACCATATTTCTGATGCAGCGCATGAATGTAGGGCGTCCTTTGAGCGTTGAGCTCCTTCCACTTCAACACCAGGGACGTGAAGAGAGATATGGTCGGGCCCGGCAGCTTTCGGAGCGGCGAGGCGAGGCAGCGGGCCAGATGAAGAGCTGCCAGGACAAGGGCCGCGAGCACCAGATACATGGGCGAGAGGAACAACATGATGAAGATAAGCAAAGGACCACCCGTGGACAAAACAAATGAATTACATTTGACGGCTTGGGTTCAAACTCGAGAGTACGGGATGAAGTGTTGAGTGTCTAGGGTTGGAAACGGCCCGTCTCTCATCAACGGTCGAGAGGTACGGCCATCGGACCCTCGGCGGCGACGACTCGGGGTGCTCCGTCGACCAACCCGAGTTGATAACTGTTTAAACAGTGTGCTTGATGTCTGCTACCGTCAAACTTGTCTTGAAAAGAGGCCAATAAGTAAGTCATGGCGCCCCCCTCCCCTCCCCCGCGGCGTATCCGCTAATTTCCCCTCCAAAGTTGTTTTTCCCCCGCAAAATGGCATGCGGAGACTCGAAACACGCCCGCCACCCAATTACATTCAATATTTGGTCAGTACCGTGGAGGTATCGTGCTGCAGCCTATTGGCAGTTATTGAGCCTTCAACCCTCATCAACGGTGGTTGCCCACGCACATTTCTGGCTGCAATACAGGATGTGTTCTACCCGGCATGGCTGCAAAGTATTTGGCATCAGAACACATTTCGTCCGCAGGCTACCAAAGACGCAGAACGATTCAACCAGAAAAAGTCAAGTGCACGTACAAGTAACCAGCCAGGGTCAATTAACGTCAACTGGGTTAATCGAGCCTAGCTGTAGGGTAGCCAGGGCTGTGGAACTGGACGGCCGCAGAGCAGAGCAATCACGGGACATGCACGCTATTTGCTACACGGGGCAAGGTGAATAGAATGAGAACAAGAATAAAAGTAAAATTGGATGGTGAAACAAAACCACCTGGGTACCATGAAAGTTCCTTCATACTACCCGACTGCATGTGTTTGGGTTTGATTGCCGCTTGCAGGGAGCAACACTCACTACATGACAGAGTTGGCCTGTCGCATCACCGTCCAAGGAAAGACACACATGACATGCTCGGGTGTTTTGATACTGGAAATATGTCTGTAAATTGCGAATAGTATTATAATGTATACACACACCATCACTCGCCATGACTCGGGGTATGGAGCAAGCAAACGAGAAACGCTTCGTTGCTTGCCAGCCTTCTTGGCTATTTTGCCTGCAACATGCCGTGTCAGGTTGTCCAAGTCGCTATTATTAGATGTCATGTCGTCGAGTGTTTGACAGTGATATTCGTGCCACCACCATGTTGGGGTTCAAAACGGCGTGCTGTTGGCGAGAGCTAACACGGCGTGCGTCATTTCGCAACTCCTCCATGTTACAAGCTGTTGGCCTACAACAGCGGCAGAGGGAAGTTTAACAGGCCCTTTGCCTACGGTGCAAGTTGTCAATGCGTCAATGTGTGGCTTGTTTGCTGATCCCGGCACCGGGAGAACTCGATATTTGTATGATGCGCAGCCTGACAGGGAAGACAAGTCGCCCAGCCTGCAGACATGTAAACAAGATGCGTGGAAATTCAATCAACTGATAAGGACCCCAACAACGACATTTGCCATGTGGAGGTAATATTTCGTTATGCTGCAAATGGGCGTCAATGGCGCTGCGTTGCTGAAGATGTCTCTGCCTTCGGCCGTCGCTATTTTCGGACATGAGCGCTGACTCTGGCTTTCCAGGTTCTGTCAGCCTGTGTGATGCCTTTCAATGCCCATCTGCAACTGCAAATAGTGTTACCGACCGCGAAATTCGGCGGAGGATGGAGTGCACAAGTGAGACTCATCCCTTTGAGTGTGCGCAGGTGCCATTTTGGTAACGACCAAGGATGTTAACCAATTAAAGACATGAGATTAAAAGATACTTAAGTCACCTAAGAATATATATGGTAAATAAAGTGCCTTATATACTAAAAGTTACAAGCATATAAGTGGCTACCCTATTATGAACGATGTACTTAGCAAGTACTAGAGAAAAGTGGAGTATATACATAACAGGCACCTGCGCACACTCAAAGGGATGTGGTATTACGGAGCACACATTGAAGATCCAGTAATCCAATAATAGAAACACCCCATCTAGGATCAAACCCTGCCTGAATTGTGAGACCCTTGGCTCCATGATCCACAAGGCGCTCCAATCCGAACCGCCGCGACTCAGCCGGGGAATATCAGACGGTTCTTGGACTTCGGGCAAGCTGTGAGGTGGGAGCCGAGTGGCGCAAGCTCAGCTCTGTGAGTTCAAGCTCCAAGCCGAGTGTCTGCCTGACGGAACGAAGAGGTTGGAGCTCTCGAGAATCAGCAGCAGGAGGTCCTGAGTAGACGGAGCGGGCAGAGTGAGGCAGCAGAAAGCTCCCCAAAGCAGGCAAAATATGCTCAGCCTCATCGACATTTGATGGTTGACCGTGTGGTCGCCCTCCCCTCCTCCTCCTCCGTCTCTTGAGCTGAGCGATTGTGTCCGAGGTATCCTCCCCCATCACTCATAATCATCATCGTCGCCGTGCTTCTTTCCTGGTCTGTTCTAATTCCGTGGACGTGGAGCTTTCTTTGCGCCTTGCAACAAGGATCGTCAGGAATCAGGATCGTCACGATTCCGGATCAGGATCAGGGCATCAACACCATTGCAGCTTGGCGTTTCTCGGCACACACTGCGCGACGCAGCATAACGTGACAGGCGAGACAACTGTCTTGTTCAGCAGCAGGGATCGGGTCCGTCAAACTTGACGAATTGACAGGTTGGCGAGCACAGAGGAGGCCAAGAGGCCCCAGCACAGCCCTCTCGCTGTCGCTGGCTGCATGATCCATCCATCACCTTGGACTGAGCCTCCCCAAGGCCAACGGGTCCGTCTCCGTCTCGCTTTGCCGTTCCTGGATGGTGGTGGGCTTGGGCTGGCACACTGACGCAGGCTTGTCCAGCCCGCTTATCCTCCCAATACCCCAGTCTCAATTGAACCAGTCAAGCTGTCCCTGCCTGGAGGTGAGGGGTTTGGCAGAGCTGCGAGCCAAAAAAAGGAGCAGACGGTTGAGCAAGGCGTCAGAGACAACTCACCTTTTGCAGACTTGCCCTCGAGGAGCATCAAAGTCGACCATCATCACCATCACCGTCCTCGCGCGTCTCCCTGCTCGCCTCTCGCGACCCGCCTCCGCCACTCTCCGAGTCCCCCGCGGTGAAGCGCATGCGCAGGCCTATTGACGAGGATGCCGAGCTTTGGACGTCTGAGCAAGCACAGCAACCGATCACAGCACACCTTGCCGGAGCAGCTGTCGACGGGAGCTGCGGCTGGCACAGCACCGGCTTCACCAGCGCCAGCATCAGCCCCGGGAGCGTTGTCTGGCGCAGCCCAAACCCAAACCCAAGCCCAAGCCCAGGCCCAGGCCCAGGCCCATGTCCAAGCGCTTGGTGCGCAGGGCCAGCAGGGAGGTGGTGCCCTGGCTGGTGTAGCCCAGGCCGACTCGCCCTCTGAGACGTCCCTGCCGCCGGTCTTGTCCTCCGCTACAGCTCTGGGCTCCAGCGACCACCTCGACACGTTTGTTGACATGGACGCACGAGCACCTCCAGCTTCGACGCAGCAGCAGCAGCAGCAGCAGCAGCATCACCCTCTTCCCCCCCCTCCCCCCGTCCATCTTTTCAATCTTCAGTCCTCGGGAGTCAATCCTTCCTCCTCGCTGCAGGCATCGGGCTCGGGTGTCTCTCCGGCTTTTGACGGCCACCAGCCGCCCACGCCAGTAGACTTTGACCCCTCCGTCAGCCGCTCGCAGAGCCAGCACTACGGAGCCTCCCTCACGCCGCAGCACCACCAATTCTACGGAACCGCTTCAGGGTCCATCGACGACCTCCCGGGAAGCGGTGGTGGTTATCACCAGCAGCCGCAGCAGCCGCAGCAACTGTCGGCCCCGGCGCCTGCTCCCCAGAAACGCTCGACTCGCAAACTAATCAAGGGCATCTTCACCTCTAGCCGTGACTCGCACGACACTCACCATCACCAGCAGACGCCGCCGCCGCCGCCGCAGTCTTCTGGCTACAACCCTTCGGGCCCCTACGATAACACAACTGGGCTTGCTCGAAGGCCGTCCAAGAGGGTGAGCAACCCTCCCAGTTTGAAAACGAGCCCGTCCCAGACGACACAGCTCTCCCCCGACCGCGATTGGCAACCCAAAGGCACTGGCAGCCAAGAGCCGTCACCGCTCCGTGAAGTTGGCGAGGTCGACGAACATTCATTTTACAGACACGGATCTAACCTTGACTCCCCAATACAGGACTCTCGCATTCTTTTGAGCAACAACGGCATCCGCCAGGTTTCCAGTGAACATCTCGAAACGTCACCCTACGACGAGGTCTATCAACCACCGGATCACCCTCCCCCACACCAGCAACAACAGCAACCTCAACAGCTTCGCAACCAGCAAACGCCGCCTCCCTTGCAGCAACCACAACCCCAGCCCCTGCAACGCCAAGGGACGCTCCGAATCCAGGAACAGCAGGATCAGTACGAGTTGCAGCAACAACTCCAGCAGCAGCAACGACACGGTGCTGGTTACGAGCTGCAATCCGAGCAGGGCCATCAACAACAGCCCAATTTCCACTACCCCACCACCTCTGCTCCGGGGTCCTATCAGCCCGGCGGGGATCCTCGACTCATCGCGAATCAACTTGTCACTAGCCAGCAGCTTCAAAACCCCGAGACTATCTCTCAACTGTCTCACGAATCGCCCGTAACTGATTCAGACCCAAGGTCTGCCTTTCAGCAACACCCACTGCAGCCGTCTCAGGCGGCCAGCCTTCACACATCTACTCCATCTCAGGATATTGCTGCCGACCAACCACCCGTTCTAGGAACGAACACGCAGGGTCAAGATCAATCCGCAATGGCCCCGCCAGCTCCTGGAGGCGGACCGCAAACGAGTCGCCGTGGCCAGGACGCTGAAAAGGTCCTTCGTGGACAAGCTGACCCTTCTGGTCCACCACCGGGATACCAGCGCCAAGGCAGCGTCTCTCTGAATGCCATGGGTCCGATTCCGCCGCTTCCCGGCCAAGGTGCGCCGCCAAATCCAAGCTATCGTGGTGAATTCACAGTATATTGACACGTCTTCAGGTGTCGACCAGGGCCGAAATAGCCCCCAACCCTCGGACCGAGACTCCGACCTTGAGAAGCAGTTCAAGGAACTTTGTTAGTCTCACTCATCGGTCTAATGCCATTTTAGTCTTTTAAGCAGCAATAGAGAAGGTGTAGGCTAACACGTGACAGCAAATAAATACAAGCACGTAAAGCGGTTGTATTTTGAAGGCAAATCCCAAATTGACATGCTGAATGGCCGAGTTGAGCAGTTGCAAAATGCTGTGGCCAACCAGCGTATGTCTCAGTCACGCACGGCTTGGGATGACAATGAATACTCAACGAGGTTCAATCGCCTCAATGGGGCCATCAACAACCTTTCTTTCAATATTCGAAAGGATTGGCGCAGCCTCCCTGTATGGATTGACAGTTTCGTCAGTGCGGATGCTCTGAAGACTGGGAAGCAGGAAATGACAGCCATCGGGCGCGCAGTTGTGTCTAGGTGGCTAGTGGAAGAAGTCTTCAACAAGTGCTTCCACCCGGCTCTGGATACGCAGCTCAGCTCGCAACTCAAGGAGATTGAACTCAGCATCCGGGAAAACTCGTATACTATGCACCACCAGGAGGAAGTTGATGCTCATACGACAAAGGTTGTCAATTGGAGAATGGCCACCTTGGATGGACTTCAAAAGCGACTCAATTCAAACGCAGCAGCTGACAACCGAGGGATGCTGATAGGCAAGGTTACGAAGAACCTGACAACCTATCTCCACCAACACCTCATTAATCCGCCCCCGCCTGGTGTGGAGGGCAGCACGTCCATGATTGCCGAGCTGGCCGTTGCTCTTGCAGCTAACCTACCTTTGGAGAGTCGAGATGTGTCCATCATGTACCCATTACCAGGAGACTTGGTACAAACGAATATGATGGAAGTTGAAAAGGCTGGGTTACCACCGTTGGAGGGGCAGAAGGCGGATGCAGATGCCGATTCGAATTCAGACGAAGATGATGTAGACGAGAAGGACAAGGGTGGCAAGCCACGAGGAGACAAGGTGAAGCCCGGTATGTTGCAAAAGAGAGCTCCCGGCACAGGTCGACTCCGCAGAGAAGACAGCAATGCCTCAGGGACAAAGTCGACAAATGCTGATCAAGATACCCCAGGACTGTCCAACGAGTTCAGCAGAGTACGATTTGCAGGATTCGTCGCTCTAGAAGTCAGAGGACGCCAAGTGCTCATGAAAGCACCAGTCTGGACACTCTGAAAATAGTCACGTGTAGCATACAGCATATTGCGAAGGCATCTGGCGGCATACCGTACTGGGGGTGAACATGTCCGGTGTTGTTTCGTTTCATCAGTTGGCGTAATACCGACATAGGACAAGGAGCAATCAAGGTGAGGCAAAAGAAAGGAGGGAGGAGGGGGAAGAGGAAGAGGAAGAGGGAAAGGAAATAAGGACCACTTTGCATACACATGTTTACGAAGACGGACGCACAATCTGATTGATACCAGGGAAAGAAAGGATATCGTGGTTGAAAATGAAAGGTGGGGGAAGTGATGAGCCGGTAGCTGTTTGAAGCTGGATTATGATTGTTTGGCTCGACAAGAACGGAGGCCGGCACGGCGGACAACTATGAAGGCAATTTTGTTTTTAAGGCAGTGTTCGAGGATGCTTGGCGCAGCCTCAAAAAGATTTTGCTGCGATGCCCATATTTGTTTCCCAGAGGGGCGATGAGTAATAGTGAGTCCATGAGGAAAACAATGGGGTGGTCGAAGTCAATTGGGAGCAAGAGTCACACTTGAGGCAGTGGCGAGGCGCCTGTGCCGCGATTGAGTCACAGGCTGGGGCCAACAGTGGGCCAACAGGAACCGATTACCGTAGAGATACCTATTAGTAGTCAAGCTTTTTTGGCAGATTCCAATCTTAGTCTCCCCTCCTGGGGACGTAGTTGGGCCGACAAGACAGGGTGAACAGGGTGCTAAGAATGATGTGTGATGTATCCCTTGAGTGTGTTAAGGTCCAAGTGAGGTATCTGACCCACTTTTCTGCGATACCTAACAGGTACGTCTTTAGTGACAGTATTAGCTACGATAGGAAGATGTAGCTCTTCGTAAATCTAAATATTACTGGTACTTATACTATTATATTACTTCTTGGGTGAGAATTTGTACCGTTTAACACGGTTTTTCTCATGGCCAGAACCCCTGCCCGGTACGAAAAATGGACCTTAACACACATCACTGGGTTATGACTCTATTTGTCGCGAGTAGTGTTCCGCATGGCGGGTAGATCTCAAGACAATTATTGATTGAAGCGACAAAGGGAAATCCCGGCACTGCAACAGCCAATATTGACTACTACCTACCTAGGTACTTAAGTAGGTACCAGACTTGACTTGGCAACAGGTCACATGCAAGTTTGTCAGTCAACGCGTCGTTGCCGCCAACCAGGTACCTACTTGTAGGTAGGCAGTTGCAGCGCAGGTCGCACCTGCCTGGTGCAGCTGCTTGGTCAGACGTACCCGCTTAAGTTCGCTCGCGGCCGGCCAAGGCGCACACTCCCACGGCCCATCCTCCTCTCATCCCGCACTTGAGTGAGCACTCGCGCACTTTGTACTTAAACCCACTTCGCTTCCACTCCCAGCTGTCGAAAAAAATTCCATATCCATCTTGCAGCGTACTCAAGCCTTTGTCTCTTTCCTATCCGACACCCAGCGACCTCTGCTAAAGCAGTTCTTGTTGCTCACCAACCAGAATTGAGACACTTATAGACGGCGTTCCTTCCTGGAGAATGGCTGTACGAGCTCAGTTTGAGAACTCCAACGAGTATGTGAGACCCCGCGGCTGTCAAAAGTCGCAATGCACAAAAAAGCACACACACACATACACACACATCAACGACCCCGCCCCCGCCGTGCAGACCGAAATCACCTTTTTTTTGGCCTCTGGAATAACGAGCAGCCAAGACATGCCGAACCCTTGACTAACATACTCACTACTCTTCCTGACAGGGTCGGAGTCTTCTCGACCCTCACCAACTCATATGCCCTGGTGGCCCTCGGTGCCAGCGAGAACTTCTACTCTGTCTTCGAGGCAGAGCTTCAAGATGTCGTGCCCACAGTCCGCACAACCATTGCGGGAACTCGCATCGTCGGCCGATTGACGGCTGGTAACCGAAAGGGTCTCCTCGTGCCCACTTCCACCACAGACCAGGAATTGCAACACCTGCGCAACTCCCTCCCAGACTCGGTGCGCATCCAGCGCATTGAAGAGCGTCTTTCCGCCCTTGGCAACGTCATCGCCACCAATGACCACATTGCCCTGGTTCACCCTGACCTCGAGCGCGAGACCGAAGAAATCATTGCCGACGTCCTCGGCGTTGAAGTCTTCCGACAGACCGTGGCTGACAATGTCCTTGTCGGCAGCTACATGAGCCTGTCCAACCAGGGCGGCCTCGTACACCCCAAGACAAGCATCCAGGACCAGGACGAGCTGTCCAGCTTGCTACAGGTGCCCCTCGTGGCGGGCAGTGTCAATCGTGGCAGCAATGTCGTTGGCGCCGGCATGGTCGTCAACGACTGGCTGGCCGTCACTGGCCTCGACACCACGGCGACTGAGCTCAGTGTCATCGAAAGTGTTTTCAGACTCGGCGAGGGCATGGGCCCCAGCAACATCAATACCAGCATGAAGGATACCATGGTCGAAAGTTTCTACTAAACGCCATGTTCAATGGCTTCTTTGTTGATTAAACACTACCGATTTTTGTTCATGGAATGGATCATCTTTTTTCCAAGATTTGGGCTGGGCTGCGTCATTGATTAACCCTTTTCCTTAAACATGTTTTCTGGGGGCACGGTGTTTGGATTCAAAAATATCCTTCATGATTGTTATTTTCATGGTCTCATATAACAACCCCTCCTGCTTACTCCTCAGAGATGGTAGGATGTCCCGCCGGCCAGATTAGACGGCGGAGATAGAAAGGAATGTGGACGAATTTTGCGTTTTTGTGCCTCTGTGACTGCATCTGCTGCATGTAATTCATCACGTTGGCCATGCCTTATTTTTTTCTTTCAATCCCGTACATCAGCCACCCCTCCAACACCTCCAACACACACCCAAGCACAGTTGCAAATCGTCAAAATCCTGCAAAAGCTGCCCCTCAACCCCACCACCTCCAACCCCACCGCCTTCCATTCTCGTATACCCCTCCAACTTTGAGCTCGACCACCAACTGACGGAGTAGAGGAGTATCGGGATATACTAGTTATTGTAGTCTCGTCGGTCCAAATACACCCAAAAAAACACCAATTGAAACGGCTCAGCATGTCCCCAGAACCAGAGCACCTGGACCCGTCTGAGCTCGGCACAAAGGAATAGTAACCGCCACCCTTCTCATTCCCCCCCGCTTCCCTCCCAAAAGTAAAGTTCAAGCTAACAAGATGCAAAAGCTGGAACACCCTATACACGCGCGAACTGAGCAACCACGCCTCCGACCCCTCCGACACGGGAACATCATGGTTCGACGACTCGGACGCGGAGCGCAAAACGACACAGTTCCTAGAGTCCTTGTCGTCGGCGGCGCCGCTGGCCAAGGACACGGCGTCGGTGCTCGACCTCGGCTGCGGCAACGGCTCGATGCTCTTCGCCCTCCGGGACGAGGGGTGGACCGGGCGCGCCCTCGGCGTGGACTACAGCCCGCAGAGCGTAGCCCTCGCGAGGCAGGTCGCTTCGTCGCGGGCTGCGGGGGACGACGCGGCCGCAGCGACGGTCGAGTTCGCAGAGTGGGACATCGTGGGCGGCTCGTACGCCGACGTCTTGGGCGGCGGGCAGGCGGATGGGTGGGACGTGGTTCTGGACAAGGGCACGTTTGACGCCGTTTCGCTGTCGGACCAGCGCGACCAGCGCGGCAGGCGGCTGTGCGAGCTTTATGCCGGGCGCATCGCGCCGCTGGTCAGGAAGGGCGGCATTTTCCTCGTGACGAGCTGCAACTGGACCGAGGACGAGTTGACCAACTGGTTCGTGGGCAAGGAGGGCAAGGGCGACTTTGCCGTGGCTGGAAGGGTGGAATATAGGACCTTTAGTTTTGGCGGCGTCAAGGGGCAGGCCATTAGTACCTTGTGCTTCAAGAGAGTATGACTGCCTAATCCGTGTACAATGGTGTGGATGCAATGGTCAAATTTTAGATTGAAAGAGAGCATAGACATATACGATACCCTTCTAACGACGTACCCACACACCTCCTTCAGCTACGTGTCCTCCAAGTCAATGTGAAATGAGGCTACAACGCCCGACACCCATCTTGAATCATTAGCAAGGTTTGGTTTATTTTCGTATATACTCCCTCCTTTCCTTTTACCATTTCTGATTGCTGGGGCAGACCTTACAACCCATTTTACAAAACTCGACATCTTTCTTTCACCCCAATCAACATTCGGATGGGACAAAATGACTTGGTTTTGGATTTTGATCAGTTTCTTTTTGTTTGTCTCCTCGGCGCAGAATCTAATTGTGGGTGGCAATGTAACGGAATTGCTTCATTACGTCTCTCTTACTGTCTCATCGCATTCTATGGTGATGTATTCATAGGCTCCCCGCCCTGCGCGGATCCCGTCGCCTCAGCTGCCGCCGTAGTCGCAAAGTATCGAACGTCCACATCGTCATCCTTTTGCAGTTTCGTCAAGTTGGGCAGGATGCGCTGCTGGATGAGCTCCTGGCCCTTGGGTGAAGGCACGATCTCGGCGCCCTCCTTCTCAAGTGAATACAGCGTCCCTTCATCCGGCAAGCGGCGCAGTGCGTTGATCAGAACCGAATAAGTCTTGGCCACGTTGAACCGGATGTTGGGGATATCGTCGTCGACCATCTTGTCAAGCATTGGCAGAATGGATTTGGCAATCACGTTTATGCTGACAACAGTAGCCAAAGTCTGTCATGGGTACGTGTTAGTCTGCAATCATAAAGGGAGGAATACCACATTCAAGCAGCGAACAGAAAACCTACCGAAATGGCAAAGCATGTGGTCATTCTGTACAGGTAGTTGGGATGGCTTCCCATACCCATGACCTTGGGAATGATCTGCTCACTAGCCCATTCGACGCCAAACACCTCAGTCAACTTCTTCAAGTTGTGTGTGGCGGCCTCACGGATAGAGAAGACAGTGTCTCCCAACCAGCCCATGCACAGGTTGCTGAGTTTCTCATCAAAGAACTTGACGCCGAGCTGGCTTGCAAGTAACGGGATGTACTCGATAATGGCGAGACGGACTCTCCATTGCTTGTCTTCAGCCAGTTGAACAATGGCAGGCAGTAACGACTGTGACAAGAGCTCGATGCCAATGACTGCTTCTATTAGCAACTATCGAATTTTGATGCAATGCTCCTCGTTTCGAGGTACTTGCCTTGATTGACTTGCTCAAGTTTTGAGATAATGTGGAGTCTAACTTCAGGGAACTCGTCCTTGAGCATTTGGAGGAACATGGGGAGGAGGTGGTCAATAGTCCTACAACAGAGTCAGACTCGAAGACTATGATGGGTTGCGGTGTAGGAAATACAACGTACTCTTGCTTGCCAAGAATAGGAGCCAGTCCGCTAATCTGCGTACCCAAGGCAGCACGAACGTGTTGTGAGCTGTCAGACACAAGGTCTTCGACACTGCCCATAATGTCGTTGAGCAGGGTAGATCGCTCGACCAAGGCGCAGAATCCAGGGATCTGACCGGCAATGGCAGTCCGAACTTCGGCCTCATTGTCCTTGAGCAGCTTGACGAACGCGGGGACGAGGTCTCGTGAAACAACTTCTTCATCGACGGCTTTGGCGATCTATTTCGACAGTTAGAAAATATGTCAAGGAAGAGGAGGGTCAGTGCCTGTTATACAACGTACCTTTTCGAACCTGTCAGCGATCATGTAACGAACCCTCCAGCTCTTGTCCTCTATCAAATTCCGCAGAGAACTCAACAGCACGCCATGGCTAGCCTGTTGCTCTTTGGGCACGACCTCGGCGATGGAGATGAGAATCTCCACGGTGAGTAGGCGCACGCTGTCCTGGTCGTCTTGGACGAGGTGTTGGAAGAGGGGTATCATTTCCTCGATGACGATGGACGCGGGCATCTCTCTGACGAACTTGGCCAGGTTGATGGCGGCTTGTCGGCGGACCATGGGGGTATCATCGTGGACGAGTAGGCCGAATTGCTGGCGAAGCTGTTCTTGGATGGGAGGAGAGACCTTGCGGTAAGGAGTTGTGAAGAGGCCGCAGCCAGAGACTTTTGATGTAAACCAATCTGCCTTGGAGAGTCTGATGGTGAGTGGAATAAAGTACTCTTCGACTTGTTGTGCGTCGAGGCTTTCGCAAATCTTGTTCAACGACTCGACAGCCTAGGGTGGCGCGATTGTCAGCGCGAAATGTGATGGCTGGCAAGCTGCGGCCTCAATTAGGCCCAAATGGAGGGGGAACAGTAGATGCTGACCTTGTCTCGAACCACAGGCTCTTCGATGGCAGCCAGATTCTCCAATGGCGACAGGAGGACATGACCATATGAAGGACCTCCAACGTACTCGATAAAGCCGCCTAGTTCATCGCTCAGGGCTACCAAGACTTCATCCTCGTCCTCGACAGATTCTATGAAGTTGAGACGGGGAAGGTTAGGATTCGGATTGTTCAGAAACCGATACTAATCATGTTGATGACGATGGTGATGGTGATGACGACACCATGCCGGGCAATCAGGTGGGCACGCGGGGAAAACAATACTAACCGTCGAGGAAAGGGATGAGCTCGTCTCTGGTGCGCTCGGCGCCAAGGGCAAGAGCAATGGTGGAGAGGCGGTGGATGGCGTTGAGGCGGAGCAGGACATCGTCGTGCTGGAATCAGCAAAGGCAGGATGGTTAACACAAGCTCGGAGGCCAAGGGGAGGCGATTCATGGGCAGTGACGGAAGAGGTGAAGGCTGGGTTGAAGTGGGTTGGTGCTGGGTAGCTGCTTGGTTTGTTTTTGGCTGCCTTACCTTAAGCTCGTCGATGAGAACTGCGATGGGATAAAGTTCGTCGTTTGTGTTGGTCGCGTCAGTCATGGCGAATGACGGAGAGTGACAGCGCGCGTCTGTCGGGGGGAGGGGGAGGGGAGGGAGCGTCGTCGAGATGGAGGAAAAGGCAGATGACGAGATGAGGGATGATGGATGAGGTGTGGTGGTTGGTGATTGATGGTTGGTGGTTGCGGCGGCGGTGGTGCCAGCGCTCTTGAGCAGTCCTGAACAGCCCTGAGCAGCCCTGAGCAGCCCTGAGCAGTCTCCAAGCACTAGCACAACCACTCGACCAGCCGCAGAAGCTGAAGCAGCGGCAGTCCCAGTTGGTGGACATGTGGACCGCCATCTTGAGCCTCCAGATGTTCTGGTACTCGCATTGTCACTGCTCTGCGCCCGGCACCCAAGTACCTGTATACTTGCTACCCAGATATGAACTTGAGAAGGCACAAGGGCAGCTGTGATGCGATGCCCAGCCTAGCCCGGCCCCACTTTGGGCGATTCGACACATGCACTCCGTACTGACCTCCTCACACAAGCACGAGGTGACGTGCAATTTCACCGGAGATGACTGAAATGGCCGGAATATTCACCATGTTCGCTGGGGTGGGATCCAGTGCGGGACATGGGTTGTGTGGCTGGAGGCCTGACAAGGCGATGCTCGAGAAGCAGAAACAACAGGGACATTGCCGACTTCCTCTCACATACTCCCTACTCCGTACGCCCGTGTGCTCTCCTTTCATCCTGCGCCATGTTCCAATTGGATGGTGCAGATACAAGATTGAACTTGTCGCTTTGCACAGGCCGACTGATTAACGGCCACTGTTTCAGGCTTTTTTTTCTGTCATTTCAATCCCGCACCGGTACGGAGTAATCAGACCGTCTGCTTATCGCCGGCCAACAATCGGCCCCTCATACTAGTCCAAGAATTCAGTATTAGACTTCAAATGTTAGCCTACTTCCACAGCTTCAATATTCCAGTCATACATAAGCCCAGCTGCCCAGGAACTTTTACTTAGGCCCAACATTTGAAGCATCTTGGGCCAATAAGTGCACCAGACAGACTCTCCAAGTAAGCAGGCCCGGCCAGCCAGCCTTGAAAGGGAAATGTAAGCATGTAAGCACCATATTGGTCCGGGCAAAAATTGCTTGGTGACTCAAGGCCCAAAATCCACCCCGCAATATTACATGTGCTCTCTGGACCCCTTCGGAGTCCGTAAAATCCAAACCGCCCATCATCGCCTCTACGGCCATCGACCGCAATCAACGCAGTCGCTTCCATCTAGACCACTGCGACAAGAGTCTGAAGCATTGAGGCCCCAATCTAACCATGCCCACCATATCCGTGGACAAGTACAAGCTCTTTGAGGCCCTTGGCAAGAAGTATGTCTCTTCCCATCTGCGCTTCTGCCCCTCCTCCGTTTTGTCCTTTGTCTCTCCATCGCTGCGACCATATCTGTATAATTTTGCCAATGCTAGTTTCTTCCATTTTGCGCCTTCGCCATTTCTCATGACTATGCGTCATATCTTCAAATTCCCTAACTGCCATCGTACGCATGCCCAGATGAACTGACCATGGCTTGATTCGCAAACAGGTTTACCAAGGAGGAGTTCGAAGACCTCTGCTTCGACTATGGCATCGAGCTCGACGAAGATACCGAGGACCAGGAGCGTCCAATTGTCGATGGCAAGCAGGAACCCCCTCAGCTGAAAATCGAAATCGGAGCCAACCGCTATGACATGCTCTGCTTCGAGGGCATCGCCCTCAACCTCAACATCTTCCTTGGTCGCATAAAGCCTCCCAACTTCCGCGTCGTCGAACCCAAGGACGCCAACGCCCAAGTTATCAAGGTCCTGCCCGACACCACAAAGGTCCGCCCTTACGTCTCTGGTGCCGTCTTGCGCAATATCAAGTTCACTGCCGACCGCTACGAATCCTTCATTGCCCTGCAGGACAAGCTGCACCAAAACCTGGCCCGAAACCGAACCTTGGTGTCCATGGGAACACACGATCTGGACACCATCCAGGGCCCCTTCACCTACGAGGCTCTGCCTCCCAGGGACATCAAGTTTATTCCCTTGAATCAGACCAAGGAAATGAACGCTGAAGAGCTCATGACCTTCTACGAAACCGACAAGCACCTTGGCCGCTACCTGCATATCATCCGCGACGCCCCCGTATACCCCGTCATTTACGACGCCAACCGAATTGTTTGTTCATTGCCCCCCATCATCAACGGCGAGCACTCCAAGATCACCCTCAACACCACCAACGTCTTCATCGAGATCACCGCCACCGACATGACCAAGCTGCAAATCGTTCTCGACATGCTGGTAACCATGTTCTCCGGCTACGTCCAAGAGCCTTTCACTGTCGAGCCCGTCAAGATCATTTCAGAGCACAACGGTTTGACCCGTGTCACACCGTCACTGAAGCCCAGAGTCACCCATGCCGAGGTTGACTACCTCAATAGTTGTACTGGCTTGAGCGAGACACCCGAGGGTCTTTGCAAGCTTCTCACCAAGATGGCCTACGACTCAAAGCCCTCAGATAAGGACCCCAACTTGCTCCAAGTCTCCATCCCTCCCACCCGTGCCGATGTCCTGCACCAATGCGATATCATGGAGGATCTGGCGGTCTGTTATGGCTTCAACAAGCTGCCTCGCACTGCCCCGACACGAAGTGCCACCATTGGTGCCCCGCTCATGATCAACAAGCTGGCCGACATTGTCCGATTCGAAGCCGCCATGGCTGGCTGGAGCGAAGTCTTGCCCCTCATTCTCTGCAGCCACGATGAGAACTTTGCCTGGTTGAACCGCAAGGACGACGGCAAGACTGCCGTGCGTCTGGCAAACCCCAAGACGCTGGAATACCAAATCGTCCGCACCTCCCTGCTGCCCGGCCTCCTCAAGACCATCCGCGAGAACAAGGGCCACAGCGTTCCCTTTAAGATCTTCGAAGTCTCAGACGTCGCCTTCAAGGACGAATCTGCTGAGCGCAAGGCTCGCAACGAGCGCCACTTTGCCGCTGCGTGGTGCGGCAAATCAAGTGGTTTCGAAGTCGTACACGGCCTGCTCGACCGTATCCTGTCCATGCTCAGGACCGCCTTCCTCACCCACGACGAAGGCCTTACCGCCAAAGAAAGCGTCGACTACCAGGTCAAGCAGAATCCCTGCAAGGCCGATGGCTACTGGATCGAGGAGCTCAAGGAGGACACTTTCTTCCCGGGCCACGCTGCCGCGGTGCATCTCCGCTTGGGTGGCAAGAACCGACGCATTGGCGAGTTTGGCATCATTCACCCTACAGTGTTGGAGAAGTTTGACTTGAGGTTCGTTTCCTGCTTCCTTTATGCATGTCTACGTTTATTAACATTTCTTAGATATCCCGTCAGCACGCTCGAGATTAACCTCGAAGTCTTCTTATGAAACATTAGAATACTAGAATTTGCCGGCGCAAAAGATGGTAGAATAGACCCCAGATGCGGAAGACAGAAGCCACGTTTGAAATGATACGGCCTAGATGATTGACGTGTTAGCATCGAGAGACGAGATTTACGAGATGAGACAGTTATAAAAAAAGAGAAGAAGGAAAAAGAGCCACCAAACGTATCAACACTTCCTGTGAAATGTCAATCCTTAAAGAGGTCGGAATGGCTTGAATAATCGGTTGTTATCAATGCTACGCTGTAGTTTTCGCCATCTATGGAACACCGGTAAAGTATATATGCATATATATGTATGTTTCGCTGCGCCTCTAAAATACGCCCGATTTATTTGCCATGGAATTACCCAATCACTTCGCCTTCGGCACTGTTCTTGCATGTTCGAGATTCAACCACGATTGTATCAGCTGATCGCCTTTCTCCGGAGGAGCTCGTGCCCGATCGTTCTTCTGCTCTGAATAATGGTTTTGCCATTTCCATGGCTGTGTGACCAATGTAGCCGGATGGTCCAGCATTTGGGAGAGAGTCCAGGCAATACGAGGGGCTTTCAGCATCGCCCACCTCTGTCTCTTCTAGAGGCTCGACGATTGCCCACCCACAACTGATGTCATTTGTCGGGGTGCAACATCTAGGGAACTTACTCTTAATTGTTACTGTATGGCGGAATGGGCGAGGCCGTGGGCATTTACGAATAATCGTATTCAACGTTTCAATGACTTGACAAGGCTTCTGCGCGCCCTCGTCCTCATCAGGAAACATGACTCTCTATGTCATCTCGCGCATCTCTTGCTCCGTATGCGGAGCTATGGCTGATCCAGAAGCCTCCGCACGACCGAGGTTGCTTAGTATGCTTTTGCCAATGTTCAACCCTGACAGACCATCCCGAATGGCTGCAAAGGCGTTTGGACCTTCGGCAGATGCGCTGCGGCGCAATGCAGAATGCTTGTTATCTGATGTGATTGTCTCGTGCGCAGTTTCCACTGCTGTCAATACGGAGTGGGTGTTGCCCAAGCCCGGAGGTTTCGGTGTTCCTGAAGCCGATCGCGAAATTTGATCTGGACGGGGGCAACCTTGTAAACTTGACACTGCTGCAAGGCGGCCATTCTCGGCAGCGGCAGCAGCATTCAGAGCCCCATTCATTTCATCATCGGTGCGGCCAAACACTTGATGCCACCATCTGATTTCTTTGAGATTCGGCAGAATAATCCTCTCTTTACCTCTGATGCGATCATCGACAGTGGGATCGTAGTCGGGGTTTGTAAATTCTTGCTTTCGGCATAGGAAGTAGTCCCAGACAGAGGACGTCCGCTCACTAACCCTAGCATCTTTCCTTTGTTTCTCAGAGTTGTATAAGAATGTTCCATATTGACAGGAGTAGAGGTGATAAAGAAGACGGCGGAGAAAGCGTTCATTGTATTCAAAACGGGTAGGGTTCTGCTTGATCAACTGATAGGTACAGTCGAGGAACTGGTGGAACACAGGGCTCACCATCTTTGGCGTGGTGGCCTCCTCGTCGACTACTTTTCCAGAAGTGACCTCGCTGGCCGTGTCCAAGTCAGCCTCATCCTTGTTCGGGTTGAAGAAGCGTCTAGCGCCAGTGAGAACATTCTGAAGCGCATCGTTTCGACCGTCATTTTCCCCAGGTTGGACCTTGGATCCAGCCAAGGCGTCCTTCTGGATTGTGAACCAGTCCTCGTGGTTCAAATGTCCAGACCGGAGCCTGAACATGTGGCCAAATGATAGCCAATCCTTCTCCACTAGAACAATGAAGCCTTCTATTGTCCTGAAGTAAGGATCCAACATGATTTGTGCTAAAGCGCTCAATTGACTAGTGCGATCCCATCCGTCTGAGCAATGAATTAGCACGTGCGAGTGGTTGATGCCAATTCTACGGGTGATAATGGCCGAACCGTCGAGAATTTCATGAATGTGTCGCAACCAGTTGCTTTGATGCAGAAGGTCTCGATTTGGGGCAAGGGGAGATATGTCAGAGTCCTTGAGGGCCTCCACCACTCTATTCAGCGAGTTACGCATGACGTGGATATTCCCAATACTGAGAAAAGTCTTGGTGGCAAACTTGTACTTATCCATGTTCTCAGATCCCATGCCCTGGACTTGATTGACCATGGCGTTAATCGAGGGGCGAGCGTCGACAATCATATTGGCCTGCTGTCGCCCGTATATCCTCGTTTCGCCCGTCTTTTCATCGTAGATGGCGGCTGACCGCGAGATTAATTCATCTTCGTAGCGCTCCATATCTGATAACGATGCTTCCAACATGCTACTGTCCGCAGGTTCCTGTTGGCTCGCAGGTGGTGTAGATTCCTCCGATCCACCAGGCATCCAGGCGGAGAAAGATGCTGCGACAAGTCTCTCATCTTGCACATTTGTCCTTCTGGTAATGCCCGCTAGTGGTTGGGAGCTTCTCGTAATTGTGCAGTTGTTGATGGGGTGAATATAGGTTAAGACGGGAATACGATTCCGAGAACGAAAGTCTCTGGCGTATTTGAGGACATTATCCGAGATCTTGGAGGGTACAACAAGGAAGGCCGGGTAAGTATCGCAAAACGTATAATCCTTGTTGATTGTAGTAACTCTCCAGCCCTTGTCAGGCAACTTTTCGCTGATACCTTGCCTCCGGAACTCAGCCTTGGGGTCGTAGAACTCCCACCCATTCATTTCCTTTTCATTTTTAAGAGGTCTGTGGCTGAACGCATAGAGTTTTTCCACGGTGCCAAGCTTGCAGGTCCTCGACTTGATAAAGTCAAAGGCTTCACGGGCGACATCATTGTCGACAAAGTTGAAGGTGACAAAGGTGAAATCGCGACATCGAATACGGATAGACGGAGACTGCATAGATGTAGGAGGCGTTGGACGAAGGGAGCAGTACGAGAGGATCGGGTATGTCAGCCACCGCTCTCTCATCCTGGGTGGTGTCGCAGGGTCGGCCGGCCCTGCATGCTGGTCTATAGGGGCGCAAAACACCATGTGATAGTCTGTGAGTCGCAGGATGCCAGTGGTGGTTTGGCCACCGTATATGCCCTTGACATTGTGGATAACCTAGAACAAGCGAACCATGTTAGACCTCGTCTGGGTGGTGAAGGTTGTGCAGAGTGGTATGACTGGCTAGTCACCTTCTTGGCTTCCATCTTTCTGCCCGACACTTGTTGTACTTGAATGGCTCTCAAAGTAATGCGACGGTGTTATACTCCAAATTAAGAATAGCACGAAGCGTAAAAACTTGACGCCATAAACTGTTGCTTCTTTTATCGCCGCTGTATCCGTGATTCGTCGGTTAGAGCCGTCGTCGGCGCAAATCGATGGCAGAAGCTCGGAGATCGATTTAACTCGTAGAGAGGTGTTGGTTTAAAGACAAGTAGCTTCATAACAATATACAAGGCAGCTGAAAAAAGAGAAATGTTCTACTTGCAGAAAAGCTGTTGGGAAGCTGAGACTGGAATGACAAGGCGAAATGCTGTATTGGGGACCAGTTTACAAGCCAAGCTCCGGAGTAACTGGTCTCACGAGCACATTCACCATGGGCTTGTCGAAGGTGGGGTTGCTTCACGTCCTTGAGTGGTTAGTGAGCAACGACGACGTCAGGCGCGCTCTTGCCCACTGAATGACCTACAGCAAGCTCACCTGGCCGGCTGGTGACAGGTGGTGCAGCTCAATGCAGCCTAGCGTCAGAGTGTCGACCTTGACTGGGCGGGGGTCGGCAAAGTAGAATTTCCGGCATACCAGGAGCCCAGGTTGGGTAGTACTTCGCACAAGGGCAGTAACAGCCCCACATCCCACCGCCCACTTTCCAAATGCGTAGACCAAAAAAAAAAAAAAGCGCGTGCAGGTTTAGGGCTCAACCCACAGCCGAAAATTGAGGGACGACACCTCTGAGGGCTTCGCCAGTCCCGCGCAGTTAGTTCATCGCGAGACCTTTCGACCTAAGCCCGCCGAATACCCTCCATTCCGCCCGTTTCGTCGACCGCCGTCTCATTTCGTCCTTGCGAATCGACACCCTTATTAAATCTCCTTCACCAAGATGGCTCACCCCGGTGCTCAGATGTGAGTTCTTCCCCGTCCTCGCCCTGCTATTTGTTTTTTCATCGGCCAGGTTGTGTGCATTCGACGGAGACGGAATTCTCTCAGCAAGATGTTGTGCGTGTGGTTGGAATAAATTGACATGCCCTCATATTGCGACAAAATGGGGGACTGGGAAGTTGGGACAGTTTTTGGAAATATTCAAATTGAGGCCGAGGGAAATTGCAACACCAATTCCAAGTATCTTGAAACGCACACCAACGGGGGACAGACCCGTCATGAACATCGATTTCAACATCTTTTTTTTTTGGCAGACCAAATGGACCACGACAGAACCATGAGGGCGGCATTGCTAACATGTCATTCTCATCTAGCTCCAAGAGGAGAAAGTTCGTCGCTGACGGTGTTTTCTACGCCGAGCTGAACGAGTTCTTTCAGCGCGAACTCGCTGAGGAGGGTTACTCTGGCGTCGAAGTCCGCGTCACCCCCACCGTCACCGACATCATCATCCGCGCCACCCAGACCCAGGAGGTCCTCGGCGAGCAGGGCCGCCGCATTCGCGAGCTCACCTCCCTGATCCAGAAGCGCTTCAAGTTCCCTGAGAACTCGGTCTCTCTGTACGCCGCCAAGGTCCAGAACCGTGGCCTCTCCGCCGTCGCCCAGTGCGAGTCCCTCCGCTACAAGCTGCTCAACGGCCTGGCCGTCCGCCGCGCCTGCTACGGAGTCCTCCGCTTCATCATGGAGTCCGGCGCCAAGGGCTGCGAGGTAGTCGTCTCCGGCAAGCTCCGTGCCGCCCGTGCCAAGTCCATGAAGTTCACCGACGGCTTCATGATCCACTCCGGCCAGCCCGCCAAGGAGTTCATCGACACGGCTACCCGCCACGTCCTGCTCCGCCAGGGTGTCCTGGGCATCAAGGTCAAGATCATGCGCGGCTCCGACCCCGACGGCAAGGCCGGTCCTTCCAAGTCCCTCCCCGACGCCGTCACCATCTTCGAGCCCAAGGAGGAGCAGGTTGTCCTCCAGCCCGTCAGCCAAGACTACGGTGCCAAGGCTGCTGCCGCCCAGGCCAGCCAAGATGCCCGCGTCGCCGAGCAGGAGGGCGAAGCCGAGCCTGCTCAGCAGTAAGCAGCAACCAAGGGACCTATTGCGGTGAAACCAAAAAAGGAAGGGGGGAGACCACGCGGAGGAGGGAGGAAGGTGACTGTGGAAAACAAAGTTGTCAACAGAGTACAAAATCTCCTTCACAAAATGCTGATGATTGATTATCCACGATACACAAATGGGACGTTGGGAAGACGACTGACAAGGCGAGACGGGGGGAAAGCCAAAGGGATATGGCGGTCTACTCTTAAGGCGTCAATTGATCTTATTTGCATCTGCTCAGGGCATTGGACGGTTTCATCTTGTTTTCTTGTAATGGTAGACCAAGCCATAAAAAAGAATTGAGACCCGAGAATCTGATGAACATGACTTGCACTGGAATCTTTCGAAACTTTGTGCTCTGTGTGACGCTACCTATGATGGAATGGTTAGGGTCTGATAAACAAAAGTTGGCTCGGCAAAAAAGCGATAGTCGTCGAGAGTATGCAAGGGCTTCATGCCTGACGCTGCGCCTAGGTCTACAGCTGGCTACAGGCCTGAGTATCGCACCGGCCGATTCCTCAACGCTGGCCAGCATTAGCTGCAAGAAGTCACTTTGGTGGCAGGTCAACATGCTCGCGGTAAAAGGCGGTTTGATATTTCTTCTAAGTCTACAAACGGATCCCAGAGCTTAAAACGGCCTGGACGCAACTCGCCCACAATTGAGTTCATCAGCGTTTCCAGACGTGCCCCTGGCTGCTCTGCTCATCAAAGCATTGCTGCCATCAAAACCAATCAACATCTCTTCTTTCATATAATGCATTCCGTGCTAGTCGTACAGGGAAGAGGTGTTATACCCGTCACGATCGCAGTCACTTTCCTTCCCATCTCCAATAATCCCAAATAAGTTCGCTGCCGCCGCCGATCTCCCGTAGGAAACGGAATTTGAACAAGAGCAAACAATATGATAAGCAGTCGATAACACAAAAAATCAACCAGAAGCGACACATGAACGCCGGGGAAAGACCAAAAATAAAATGAAAAATGAAACTCATCAGTCCCTGTCCCTCCCTCAACTTTTTTAGAAACCAAAAAATTCATGTAGATGTGTTCGCTTCCCCCCCCCTAGGCGAATTGCTTGTATCACATGAAAAGGCAAAACAAATGGCAGGAATCTGTATCGTGCATGCATGATGATGTCGACCGGCGAAAATCTTACTCCAAATGGTTCGGGAATGTACAACGGCGATGTGTGTCCAGGGATAACATGCTAAAGTAGCAAAAAGAAAGGCCAGAAGGATGCAAAAGTCGCTTTGCACCAATCTGTCCTGGTGTTGTTGGTTGGAGATGGAAATCATCAGCGGTATAGTGTATGTCCCTCATTCTTATCTCTCAGTGGATTTCTGGTTTTGTAATTCGATGCCATTCTCGCACGGTTCCTTCTTGCCATTGGCTTTGCCATTGGAGCGGCTACCTTCGTCTTCACTCTCCTCCGCAAGGTCAGTGAGTCCAAATCCTGCGGCTTCCTCTTCGTCGTAAGCCCGGATCAGGCCTTCTCTGTCGCTGTGAAGACTTCCCATGCTATGCCGTGATGGGTCTCCGCTGCGCCGGGCTTGCATGCTGCGACGTGTTTGGAATCCAGATACCATGTCAGTGGGTGTTGCATCATATCCGCCTCGGCCGGCAATGAGTTTTTGACCGTTGGGGTCGCCACGAGAAAGGTTCAGCAGGTAGACTCCAGTAAAGGTGACCAGGAAACCACAAAGCAGCGAAAGCGTGTTGACTGGATCAGTTGTGTTGAAGCCGCTAAATAAGATGAATGAGGCACAGAGAGTGGCTGTGGTAAATGTCACATAATAGAGAGGATTGACACTGTTGATTATCCAATCAGTTCCATGAACCAGAAGAAAAAATTGGTGCAAGAAGTCGATTACTTGTCCAACTCACATATTAGTAGGGAACGAGGCCAAGGCCTTGTTGAAGTAGTTCATCTGCGTCAGGATACAGACGGCTGTCAAGATCAAGAATACATAAGTTGACGGGTGGCTGAACTGATTGTTGCCAGCAAAAGTAAGTTTAAGAGCGATGCCAAAGGCTTTGACGGACATGACGGAGATGGAGCCGACGGTTGAGCAGATGGACAGGTAGATGAGGGCGTTCTTCTTGCCGTATTGAGGTGCGATTCTGTAGATCATGAAGACTGCAAATGCGACAACGGTAATGGCATACAAGAGGAAGCCTGTGAAGTTGTGTTAACATTTAATCAACATCGCCGACGATTGTCATGGCATTGTAGACGTAAAAAAGCACTTACCAGGTCGAAGTGCATAGTCCAGAATCTGGTCAATGGTCTCGATTTCCTCGTCGGGAGGAGCATGAAGGACAATGACTACAGCTCCAATGAGGCAGATGGCACTGCCCAGCTTGCCCAGGGTTCCAAGCTCCTCTTTCAAGAAATATGATCCCAAGACGGCGCCGATAAGGACACTGAGGGCGCCAAGAGGTGTCACGAGAATCGCGGGAGCAAAGGCATAAGCTGCAAAATTGCAAACTTCCCCGATACCAACTGCGCATGTGAAGATTAGCGGAAAGGCAAAGAGTGGTTACAGAGTGTTAGGAAGGCATACGAGTTGCAATACCAGCCCACCAGAGCGGACTTTTCAGGTAGACAAAGCCATCGCCTTCAAATCCATGTCTTTCTTCGGCATGAATCAAACCCTGGCGCGGTGCATGTTAGATATGGAACGGACCATTATTGTCGTCAAGGACTATCTGAGAGAAAAAAGGCAAACCTTTTTGGTAATGACGAAACTGGTACCTGGGAATGGACAGTTAGCGGAGGGGTCTGCGTGCGCCCGAGATGTGTGTAGAACATACCAATAGCCAATGCTGATGACATGGCAAGCGCCAAGCCGATATATCTACATCATCTGGATTAGCGACGAGACGTCCAAACAGGCAGGCAAGCTGAAGAAATTTCGTAGCTTGTGGTATGAGGAGGAGCTCAGGCTACGCAATCTCCAAGACGTACTTGTCTTCAAGCATAATGGTAGTGTCGTGCGCAAATGGCGTCCCGGGATCTCAAACGAATGCTCAAGGTGAGGGAGAAGGGAAAAGAAAAAAAAGAAAGACAGTCGTAACACGATGAAAGAAGGAAGAGGCGGAGGAGCGTCGCCAACAGCCTTCACCGGGCTGAATGTCTCGATGTGGGCAGAAAAGTAGCAGCCAAGGGCAATGGACGGATAGAGTCGCAAATGGAGATCAGGCTGCGCCCATGGAGAAAGTAAGTTCGGCACGAACTCGTAGTACGACGCAGCGGCGCAAACCGAACCAGCGGACGAGAGAGAGCGGGCGATGGGTGGTGGCAGAATAGACGATGCGAAGGGCGCGTACGCAGCGGTGGCTGGCTGGTTGGTTGGATGGATGGACGGATGGATGGAGGTGGTCGTCCTCGCCGCTGTCGATGGTCGGCTCCGTGCCAGACGTCGCAGAATCCGCGTAGAAAGAGAGCAAGATGAGGTTGTGTAGAAGCGCAAAAAAAGGAACCGTCGATACGCGTGGGAGGAGAGGATGAGGGCGGTGGTGATGAGACGGGAGGACGTCGTGGCCGCAAGAGATGGTGTGGAGGGTCGCAACTCGCAGGATTCCAAGCCATGTGGACTGAGGGAGTGACGGAGTGACTTGACAGTGGGCTTGAGCACTCAATGGCGCGGTGGAGGTCTTTTTTGGCGTGGCTTCAGGTGGGCGAGGTGGGCTGGTTGTCGATCGGGGCGGCACACACATGCATGCTTGAGCGTGCAGTTGTGTGCACAGCAGATACAAGGCCCAAGGATACCGGGTGACCCTCTGTTGGTGCCTGGCCAAAGGGTCCAGCATGCCCTAGAGCATTGCCCAGGCACCGCGCGCGTTCCGACTTCTATCAATCATTGATGGCCTGAGCCGACAAGGTATGCAGGTACTTGCATTCCAAGTCGTCACGTCCTTGCGTCGTCGCCGTCCTCCTCACTACTACCACTATTACCCAAGTACCTAGTACCTAGAACCTAGTAGGTAGTCCCGTGTCGTATCATGGAACCAGACTGTATCGAACAAAAAAGTGCCTACTGGTACTTGTAGTTATTAGATTAGCAGCTTGCACACATCAGCTTGGAAACTTTAAAAGGCCCGTTTCAAAGCATGCGATTCTGCTAGGTAATTTGGCGCCACGGCTTGCGCGAATGAGAGTCCCCACGTCATTCCTCAGAGAACAAACATAACAAGTCTGTCGGGATGCGAGTGCCGAAATCGGCACAACGTAACAACAAACAGTTGAAAGAAAACAAGGACCCGTCGTCACCTGACAGCATCAAAGCCAGTTCTACGGATTACTCAACCATTTAACTCCCTAACGCGACTCCTGTCCGCAGCCTGCACCCGGCGGCTATAGAGTACCATATCCTATTGTCGACGGGCTTTTTCCTCTTCCCTCCCTTCCCTCGTATCACAGAGATAGTAGATGCAAGATCAGTGGATGCCCCCAGGGTCCACACCCTCAGAGTTTTACTGGCCACAAATGACTGGCTCACATTTTTAGAGCCCACGGGTACCTGGACAGGGGCGGGGATCTTGAAGTCTGGAAGAAAACGCCAAAGGACTGCCGTAAATATATGTACTGGGTACTCCGTGTTTATACCTACCTACCTTATATATAAAAAAAAGTGCTTCATCCCTTTAATTAATTCAGCCCTCGTTTTTCCATTCGTTGCTTCGGGGATATCGTCGTCCAGGGGATATATAATGCAAACCATTGTTGCTTATGGCTCATCCTGTGAGCATATTGACGCTTTGCCCTCGCCTTGCCCTCGCCTTGCAAGCAGTGTATGGAGTCTGGCACAATACTCCGTACCTACTCTATCTTTTCTCTACTGCACCCTCCGTATTTTCTTCGTCTTCGAAAAACTCTCCAAACTGGCCTAGCGCCCACTGCTTCGCCCTCCCCGTCCCCACCACGTTTCAAAGTTCGACTAGACACACCGAAGGCACTTAAGTACTTAGCACTTATTTATTAGTGTTTGGTCTGCCCCTGCATCCCCTGCATCCCTGAAATACAATCTGTCGATCGAGCAAAGCCTGCCTTTCATCCGGTGTCGTGCTTCTTATTCCCTCTAGTCTTTTCTTCCCCATCCCCCTTTTTTGGCCACTAGTGGTTGCTCAACATCGAGTCGTAAGTTTTTTCGGCACGGAGTCGACCCCAACCATCTCCTGACGCCGTCACGCGGCCGAGGCTTTCCTGGCTCCCTGGTGCACCAGCACAACTTTGAACATGGTAGCCCAACGTGGCCATCTTTAACTCCATACTTACCGTTAGACATTCCCTATTAATGAAAGCAATTAAAACATCTCTGACGTGCCCAACCCGGGTTAGTCCAATCCATCTCGTCAACTCGCCCAAACAACTTCCGTTCTCTACTTGGTATTTCGATAAATGCCAAGCTTTCCATCGTTGACATGACATGGCAGGGATTCGGCTGGCAGATCATGTACCCGTCAACGTGGAATTTATAGTGTCTGTGGGGAACAGCCTCTCGAATAATAAAATTACCTGCCTCGCCTATCTAGTCCGACATAACCGGTATCCTACCAACGCCGAGCTAATAATGCATACTGCTGCGGATCGCCGTCCTGGCTGAAAGAACAAACCACTGGGACGCACTTCTGGAGCCGGCAGCTAAGAATCGGTCCAGGAGCTCATCGGAGCAAGATTGATAGTATACTTGACCTCGTAGTTGATAATACAAATCGTCCACCCGTCTTCGTTTCGCCTGTCCTCTCGTTTTCAACCTATGTTCAAGATGCAAAAAAAAAAAAGCCTCCTCCCCCTTGCTCCTCCTCGCTACCTGTGGTCTACTACCAAAACCGAAATCGTTTCATCTTCATGTGAAATCGGGTCTCAAGTTATGTGATAGTAAAACAGGCCGAGAACATACTCCTCTCTACCAAAAACAAGATCCCCCTAAAGTCCATCGCACAGCCACCTACGATTGGGGGAAGCTGCTTTGAATTGTTAGTCAAGTCTGCTGTGTCTTACCTCTTTGAAATGAATTTTGGTTCCAACTAATCCGACAGGCAATTGAGTATTGGGGTATCATCTTTCTGGTTGCGCTGAAGATAATGTTGACATCTGTGTCAAATCCTTAAACAGATGTCTATCATATCTTAGTCAGACTGTATTATCAATCCACCATTTTAGGAGAAGGGGGACCGTTTGGTGATATATAGCTGTTGGGGGGATTTGGGGGAAAGATGTTAGCATCACATGTGCGGCTCTTTTTTTTTTTGTCCTCTGTTCACTAGGAACGTAGGCGCTTGACATCTACAGAATGGTTAACTCTGTCCGGCATTAGACAACCGTATTAACTTACTTTTGTTATCGTCGACACCTAGCCCATCGTCACCACGGGCTCGTTTTACAGCACCGGATGACTCGTCTCCACCAACCTCGTCTTGCAGATGAGGCTCCGCTTCATCTCCCCAATCAATTTCTGCAACATCATCTTGCTCAACGAGGTCACCCACGGCGGCTTGGTCGATGATGGCATCGAGAGCCGCAAGTTCTACCGGCGTGGACGCCGCTTCCCCATCATCTTTCAACGTCGTGGTAGTAGTACTGGCATCCGTGGCACCAAACTTTGCATTGGCATCTCCGAGATCATCCTGTGTAGATTGCTCGACCGTCACGGCTAGGTTACTATCGGCCACTTCTAATGGCTCGTCGAAGTCCGGGTCAATCAGATCGCGAACCCCGTCTCCTACATCCTCAGAATGTCCACCGAGTAGCTGGTCATCGTCCCCTTCACCATCTCCAACGTCGTCTTCTGGAGCGAGAGCGCCCGAGACCACAGCTTCGTCAAAGTGCGGGGACACTTCTGCCGGTTCTTCCATCGCATTGCCATACTGGGGAACAGAATCTTCGGGCTCGTTGGCAGCTTCATCCTCTTCATAATCCTTTCCAATGCTTTCTTGTTGATCCGATAGGGAGTCTTCATCTACGAGCCGCTCCAGATGTTTCCCGCCCGTTTCTCGGTCACTCAAAACGTCCCCAACATCTTGTACCGCGCGGTCTTCACGAGAGCTGTCATCATGGTCCAACTGGCCACCCAAATTCTCGCCAGCTGAGATATCTCTAAGGCCCGCAGTGCGCGGTACGGGCGATTGGAACAGATGAATAACTTCATCCAGTCCCTTGCCTTCAGTAGCACTCTCCATCAAAAAGTCAAATCGTCTACCGGCACTGGGTCTAGTGAAAAGATAGGTGTACAATGGCCGACTGCTTTCAGGGTCCTGGTTCTTAACCAAAATGTCAAAAATCTCAAGGATTTGCCTCAAGCTGATGTTGCACAGAATGTCAGGAGGTGATGACTATGAAGTTGTCAGCTGCCGATTCTTCATATTTGCTTCATTGCCCAAACTTACTTCTGCAAACTCCAGTCCAAGTTCGTCCACTTGAAATACGAGATCATCTTCAGGAGGAAGTTCATTCGCCAGTTCTTGTCGCAAACCATTCAACACTGACTCGAGACTATAATCCAAAACTGAAAGCTGGGAAAAAAAGCCTTCTGAAGAGAGCGAGAAGAATGGAAATTCATCACCTCTGTATTGCACTGTAATGGCTGGAACCCCATTCTCGTCGATATCAGAGTACTCTAGATCTAAGAGAAGATCTTGATCGACGTCATCCTGCAGGTCCCCATCGTCCCCCGTTCCATCGCCAGCTGCTTCCAGGTGCTCAGAATAGGAATCTTCTACTCTGGCGGCGTCATCATCATATGGCGCAGAAGCAGCTTGATTCTCTGTTTCGGAAGTAGATAGCTCGTTTGGAGACATATATTCGCCATTGCCAGCAGTCGTTTCATGATCTTGCAAGCCCTCCTCCACCGGCTCGTCCTCCTGTTCCCAGCTTATTTCATGATCATCAGCTTTGTTGTCTGCCTCTCCAAGTCCCTGGACCTTCTCGTCATGAACAACCTCTTCTAGCTGCCGTTGCTCCGACGTAGCTATTTTCTCATCACCATTATCGATGGCTGCAGGTGTATCACGGTGCGTAGGTTCGTCGAAATCGTAGTCTATTTCATGGGACGCTTGTTGGCTCGCATCGTGTCCCTCATCTGTAGTCCCCAGCTCTAGTTTGGGACTTCTTGCCTCGTCTTGTTCGCCACCTTCAAAAAAGTCCACTTCATCTCGAGGGCCATCCTCACCTGAGCCTTCAAGGCTGACCTTCCCCGAAACGGCGGCTTCGGTACCATACATCGCTTCTGTAGTTTCGCTGTGGCCGATGTTCTTCTCAGAATCACTGTCATAGTTGATTAAATCATCATCCAGGTGTCTTTCACGGCCAAACTGAGGTGCTGCGTTGACCTCCATTTCGGCCATGTGGAGGGGACAGCCCGGCCTGCTCGCTATCCCCGGGTTGTGAGTGATCGCAAATGTGACGTTTCGGAAAGTTAAGAGAGACCAGGTAATGGTAGAGAAAGAATGTGAGTTGCGCTGGCGATGTGCAGGCGTCTGGAGCTGGTCGACGATTCCTGATGGCGCTGCCGCTTGGCAGCTGTATGGAAGAACTTGAGGTCGGTTTAGGCTGCGTGCAAGCTGAAATTAAATCGTTTGTCACGAATCCCGTTGTGAAACATTGGTTAAGGTGATATTAAGGTGACGAGGTGTCATCAATAAAAAAGTATTTGTTCCGCTGTGATAAGTTCTCTTCGGCAGTGCAGAACGAAGGTTGCATTCACAAGTTGATCACGGAGGCGGAATGAATGCAGCTGGGTATCTAGCAGCTGACTGAGGGAGACGGAGTGGATCTGTGGATCTCAGCCCAAAGACAATGAGCGGACACAGACAGCAAGGAGAATGAGTGGGAACACTGTGAGACATGGAGGTACATACTTGTAGGTAACTAGGTACCTAGCCCAGGACCCAGTATGACTACTGGTAGAGATGCTGGTACAGAGATTGGTGGATAGCGTACCGACTTCCCTGTGCTTGCTTCCCTTCTCGCCCCACCGTCAGTCAACGCACCTGACTTGCTGACTTGGGAACTCGGAGACTTGGGATATTGGCCAGTTCCCGAGACGCACGCCCGCCATTGAACAGGAGTGCCAGATACAACCTGCCCGTCCAAGAATACAGCTCAGCACTCCCAGGTTGCCATATACGGATTGTCAAAATGGTGCGCATTGCATTGTAAAGAACCCATACTCAACTCCCCATTTTGCTGACCCCCTCCAGGTCGTTCTCGCGGCGTCAATCTGCACCCGCGGGGGGAAAGCTGTCCTTTCCCGCCAGTTTCGAGAGATGCCACGATCGCGGATAGAAGCCCTCCTCGCCTCGTTCCCAAAGCTGGCCGACAGCGGCACCCAGCACACCACCGTTGAGCAGGACAATGTTCGATTTGTCTACCAGCCGCTTGACGAGCTCTACATGGTGCTCATCACCAACAAGCAGTCCAACATTCTCCAGGACATCGACTCTCTACACCTGTTCGCTCAGGTCGTCACCAGCGCATGCCGAACTCTTGACGAGAGAGAGATTGTCCGAAATGCCTACGAACTTCTCAGTGCCTTTGATGAGCTGGTTACGCTTGGGTACCGGGAAAACCTCACCATGAGCCAGATCAAGACCTTTTTGGAAATGGAAAGTCACGAGGAGCGCATCCAGGAGATCATTGCCAGAGTACGTCTGCCACCGCAGCCACCATTTGCCGCCATACTATGGATTTATTGTGATTTACTGTCTTGCATGCTAATGCCATTGGCAGAACAAAGAGCTTGAAGCTGCCGAAGAGCGAAAGCGAAAGGCCAAGCAACTTGAGATGCAGCGCAAGGAGTCTGCCAGGGGTAACCGTGGAATGCCACGAACTCCAGTTTATCCGACCTACACTCCTCCTTCGAGACCCAGCGGTACCGATTCATACGATACATATGAGGCTGAAAAGAACAAGACGTTTAACAAGTTGGTTCAATCTCTATATTTGCTTTGCCTGTGGCAACGTGCCCAACTAACCCATATTCAGGCCCCTCGCACCAAAAGGAAAAGGCATGCAGCTGGGCAAAAAGTCCAAAACCACGGACATGTTTGAGCGAGTTCGCGGCGACATGGGCGGCGAGATTGATGACACTCCCCTCGTGGCTCCCACGCCGGCTGCTGCTACCGTGCCCGTCGAACCCCGAGTCTCATCAACCCTTGACCGCGATGCTGTCCATGTTACCATCTCCGAGTCAATTAGCGCCAACCTCTCCAGAGAAGGTGCTGTCAACTCACTGTCCATTAGTGGCGACCTTTCTCTTCGCATCTCCGATCCCAGCCTTACCAGGATTAAGCTTGGCCTGCAGGCCGTCACATCTCACGGCGCACAATTCCGTACACATCCCAACGTGGACAAGAATTTATTCAATGGGTCCAGGACGATTCAAATGAGCAACACAGCACGTGGGTTCCCCGTCAACAACTCAGTTGCTGTCTTGCGATGGAGAGCGTCGCCAAAGGCGGACGACGCCAGCTCTTGTCCCATCACCTTTACTGTGTGGATTAACGACAATGGTGGCAAATACAATGTCACAGTCGAATATGAGCTTACCGGCGGTGATGCCCTGAGAGATGTCAGCCTTGTCATACCCTATTCAGGAAGCGAGCCTGTCGTGTCTAGCTTTGATGCGGCGTATGAGGTCTCCGGAGATGTGCTGGAATGGAACATTGGCTCCGTTGATCACGAGAACCCTAACGGCGCCTTCGAATTCGAGGCTGAGAGCAGTGATGAGAACGATTTCTTTCCCATGACTGTGAGGTTTAGCAAGACGACACCATACGTGGATGTTGATGTGAGTGTTCTCGAGCAACATGGGAAAGTTGAGCAGCGAGGAAATGCTAACTAGATGCACAGGTTAAGAAGGTATCCCTGTTGGATGAGGGTGAGGAGATTACATTCTCGAAAGAGGTGAAGTCTACCGCGGACAACTACTCTGTTGAGTAGATAGACGTCAATGGAGTGAAGTGAGTCAGAGCTAGCTTTATATACGATGGCAAGGGGATTCGTAGTTCTGAGCAGCGACACGGCACGTTGGGCAGGCAGTTGTAAATGGTCGGTATTGGGCGGAATGGCGACACGATTGAAAAACAAAAGTCGGTTCAACATTTGTGTTGGAATGAACTTTTGCAGTCTCGGATAATAGACAAATGTTGAAAGGAACAAAGAGGGAAAAAAAAATAATAAATAAAAAGTCCACATGTAGTAGAGTGCATACAAGGTGATGATGTGTTTCTGCGTCTGTTAGGCAAGTGGACAAGAATGGTGGGGTCTGGTTTATTCAATGGCTCAAGCTCAAGGTGGGCAACTCCAACTCCAGAACACCACCACGACACAAGCCCAACGACGCGTTTCTATTTGTATCCAGACTTCAGACTCCACGCGCCAGCTGGTTGACACGATATCGAGGCTTCCTAGCTATGAGCTGTGTAACGAAAGAGCCGTCTTTGACTCGTTGAAACGGCGCCTGGTCGGCCGTTATGGCTCAGCCGAAACGACTCTCACTCTACAGCGAGACGGAGCTCGAGTCCAAAGCCCCCGTGGGTTTCCCTTCAAGTTGTCCCACGCTCGACCTATCTACCACGTGGGATGCTGCCGACAAGAACCTATTCATTTACAGACCTCCCTGTCAAGCTGTTTCTAAAATCCACCAAGCTGGGGCTCCAGGGACGCAATCGTCAGAAGTGGTCACCGTGACCTGGAAACCAGATGGTAACTACATTTCAGCAGCCTTGGACCTACACAGGCGGCGGCTAATAGATTTCGATTAGGTCAATTTCTCGCCGTAGGATGGAGCGACGGAGTTGTCAGGCTTATGGGCTTGGAAACGAATAAAGCTGCTCATCACATCCCAGTGTGCGGAGGAACAAATGCCAACATCTCCCGTATTGGCTGGGCAACCTGCAATGTCGCAAGTAAATCACCAGGAGACCTTTTGATACAATCAAAGGATGGTATATTCACAAATACAACGACTTCCGATGACAATTTGCCTCGTAATTTACCCCAGGAGCTTACTTTCCTCGAGGTTGACACTGCCCTGCCCAAGGTCAGTCCCTTGCCTACCAGTAGTGCTGGCGCAGAGTAAGTTGATGGCCAGTCTCGTTCTCTGAACAGGAGTGCACAATAGACTCACTACCGTTGGCAGTGATGATGCAACTGTATTCACGTTGCGGACAGGTATTGAATTCTTGTTTCAACCACCGAAGCGGGAGGAGTATGAGCAAGTGAACGTCATGATAGTTGGCACGGACGATGGCAAGCTGCAGCTAAACATTTACGATTCTTTTCTTATTGGCACATTTCCCAGTCCCGTATCAGAGTCGTCAAATATGCCGCCATATATGATTTCTCACGCTGCTCACCCTCATTTATCAACACACGCTCTGGTCTTTGCACATACGCAGACTGAGCCGGAATTCCTCCACCTGGTCCCGATGGATCTGCCGTTCATTTCTTCGTCACCGATTAATTTGTGCCTGCTGGCTTCCAAGTTGACTACACTTCAGAAGCTGCTGCGATATATCAAACAAACCCAACTCCACATGCAAGTCGAATGGAAGAATACCCGAGAATTACCAACCCGATTTCTGCGCAGCGTGCAAGGGGATCTAGAAGAGCTGCCAAGCGGTCCCCGAAGCATCGTTCCAGCACTATACCACACTGTCGTCACCGGACATGCGTACGGGCCAGTGCGAGAATGGCTAGTCGATAGTCTCGCAGAACGTGTAGGTGCATTTCCGGCCTCCAACATGGGGGAATTGTAATGTACCCTAACATTAATCCTTCCAACAGGGTCACAAACGATGGGACAAAGCCGTCGTCTCCGGTCTCGAAAATCTCCGCAGCCTAGTCCACGAGAATTTTCTTCCGGCATTAGAGCGCTGTGCCATTATTCTCAGCCGTCTACGTGGTTTGGTCCAATTCTACGACGACAGAGACGACATTGGATACTCGGCTACTCAAACCAGCAGACTTCTCGACATAATCGCTTGTCTCAGTCTAGTCGGCCACAAAATTCTATCCAATGTCATGGACGAACTGGAGCATTTTAACGCGTTTTCTACATGGTTGCGACTTCAGATTGATCGCCAAGCTTCATCTACTACAACGGCAGATGAGCTCACCGAAAAAGAGGCAACTATGGACACGTCAAAGGTTCTCACGTACATTGAGAGTTATCTCACCCACAGTCCACTAGATGTATACTTTGACCAAGTCTCCGAGGAAGACCGGCAGGCTGACTTGGACCATATTGAAGACGGTGTCGGCATATTTCGCATCCTCGACGCGCAATTGAAGAAACAAGAGTCGGGACAAGCATCCCGGAAAGCTCTCCAGCACGTAGACTTCCTGGTATCATACGTGACGACTTGCTCTAGTCGAATGTTCAAGGACATAGCAGAAGCAACAAAGCGAAGCGTACGGTTCGGCAAGGCTGTCAAGCTGTCCATCGGGCAACCCATTACACAGATGGACACCCAAATATGCCATACCAGCGGGAATGCAAGTTGCCCCGAAGTTTCCCATCTTGATTCCAAATAGGTTAACTAACTAGCGTACAGGCAGGCAGGATATACACGGCGCTAGCGTCAAAATCATCCAGCGATAAAGGCAAGCACCCACGTGGCCATGGATAACGAGTAAAACAAATTTCTAATTATAGCAGTGTACATATTCCGGTCTGGCGTCGACATCAAGAACGGCATTAGTAGCAGTTCACAGACGACATCGACGTGCATTCGTCTCTCCAATAAGAAACTAGTCGACTTGAAGTTTTTAAATGACGAGACATTAGCCTTGCTGTGTACTCAAATTGGTAATTGTACCAACTTTTTTCCTGTATACCATCTTGACACCTTCTAATTTCAACTAGATAACACTTCAATCGTCACACTTGTCCCGGTCGAATCCGACCACCTCGAATACAAGGCATACGACTCATCACCGGATGATACACCACTTATCGAACTAGCTGATTTACAAGAGTTTGCAATCCCCCCAGAATACGCCATGCGACCTGTTCGAATGGAAGTCCATGACAAGACGGACCTTCGGGGAGAGCTGCCTGTCAGAATATGCTTGTTATCGAGTAACAGGACAACGTGGCGGACTTTTACACTCCCGCATTGATGTCATTTCTTGGACGGGGCCTGATTAAATAGACTATCAATTAACCCGCTCGAAGCAATAAGAATTATCCATAGTTGTCGGCATCATGTCCAATTATGAGTGATACATTCTGAGTTCAAGAACTGACCGCATGTAAGAGTCTCTTGGTTTCAGTGACGCTACTTCCGTGGTTTCGTAATGTTGAAGAACTCTGTCAACCCCTCTACAACGGCCTCGACATTCATATTGACCAGGGGCATTCTATCATATGAATCATCCCTCATAATCGCAACCAGGGCCAGGTAACGATCCACTTCCCTCAACATAATGGGCTTATTGCTATCGTGCAACACGAGACAACTCTCGGCCGTAGGACAGCCAATCTGCTCATCGAGTTTGGTATTCCACGGATCTCCTTCCAATTTCTTACGACTCTCGTCACTACGCTGCCACGTACCATATACCTCTGTGATGTCAATAATCACGTCAATATAGTCGCTGCAAATCTCATAGCTTGCCATGTCAGCCGTTGCATTGTCAGTAGCAATATAAATCTTGGAAAGCACATCGAAAAGATATGCCTTTTCAAAGCGACACGTTCGACAGAGATTGGTAAGCATGGATTCCAGCGTCCCTAAGCGAGGGATGAGTTTCTGTATGACTTTGCTAAAGGCCTCGAAGATGGAATGGTTATAGATGGAAGTAAGGTGAAATGTAACCGGTGCATTTTCAAATCCGTGATCAGACAGTTCGTCTTGGATGCGGATGGTGATGTCGCGCTGGATATCAAGCTTATAGTCGTCGGAAAGACCATCCACTTTGTGTATAAACACCTCGATATTGATGTTGGGATAGCCGCGTTGTAAAAAGAGAACAGTGGCGTTGAGGCGGGACACGGCTTCGAGATAGTCGTCTTGGGCATCGATCACCCATATCAGAGCGCCTATCTCACCAAAAATTGCATCCATATCGAAATTGGCGTTGTCGAAAACATCAATTTGTCCTGGAAAGTCCCAGACTTGGAAGTCCATGAAGGATCTGGCGATTTTGTCAACAATGCAATGGGCCTAAAATAAGACTTTTACGGTTTCTTACGCCATAGAGTCCTTCTGTATCCGTGCTGTCGACTCCAAGAAAAGGGTCTCATTGGGAGGTAGTTTATGGAATACAACGCTCGAAATGGATGATTTCCCGCTCCTGCAGAATTGTTAATATGCTGATTACCGCTTTTCACCGCGACAAATAGCACTCACCTTCTCTGGCCCATCAATAGAAGCCTGGGCTTTCCCTTGGGAGCCAGAGCTATGGTGGATGCACCGCGTCTAGCAACTGCCACACGTTTAGCAGCATCTTTGCTTTGCGCGCCAGTTGAGGACTGCATTTGAATACGTTGCAAGGTTAGTTCGGCTGGACTCATGATGCCAGAGGACGAACGAGCTGTCAAGTTCGTATCGTCGCCCAACTCTGCTAATAGAGTTTCGCGGAGAGGAGGGTTGAGCGTCATTGCAAGGCATGTACCAAAGCAAGTATTGCTGTATTGCTGTAAAAGAAAGGAAAACGGAAAATGAAAGAATTGCAAACTCAACGGCCACTATTTGGACCAGCGCTTGCTGATAATTTGGGTGCAGAGAAAGTGAACGCGAAAATAGTTGGCTTCCCGAATATACTTAGAAGACTCTCGTCATCGTCCACCTTACGATCAAACAACAGCCAACACAACTCTTACAAGCGCGAGTGCCATGTCACAAAGCCAAAGGAATGTTGCTACCCAAAGGGCCAAGTCATATGGCTTTTCGTCGCTCAAGGCGGCCGCCACAGTCTCACGAGAAGCGATAGACTCGGGATTATCTGAGATATGAGAGCGCTCCTGAGCCAAGGCAGCGACAGATTCTTGTCATGTTGTCGTCTTCTATTAAGCGATATAAGCCACACTGCCCTGCCTCGTCCTAACCTGGATGCACTTGCGGCCAGGCGGACGGCGAGTCATTAGGACAGATCAACATCAACAGAGCATGGACCCTGGAAGAAGCATGTCGTTGAGGCTCGGCCCAAGCCGCAACGCAACGTGGTCATTCCATGACACAGGCCTCCTTGCTTTGGCCCTCGGGTCGTCCTAGAACCCGACGAGGAAATGCATACGGTGCGATGCAGCCAAATTGCAACAGCATTAACAGCCCACTAGTTGCATCACGCTAGCCCGACCACACACAGGGTCCAAAAGAAAAACATCGTCGTGGCGTGGCCAGAAAGCGAAGATGCAAGCCAATTGTTCCGCTGTGTTACCCCTTTCCAGCACGCCACTCGGCAGCTTGGAAAGCGTATCAGGGATGAATGAATCTGACCAGTCAAGGGCAGACGGAGGCCAGATTTGAATATTTAGCTGTTGCCGAGCTTGCGAAACCAATGGTCATTTTCCTCTCAGCGCACTTAGTAGAAAGAAAGCAACTTGTGGTTTGCGCCAATGCGAATAGAAATATCAAACGAAAACATCTCAACATGCCAGTCACTCACCTCCATTCTGGAAAGGCAATGCTCTTAATGGTTGAAAGATGGCCTCTGGGGTCTCCGGGTATGATAGCGGGAGTAGGGTCACGGCGACCTTTGAAAGAGTCCACAGTGTGTGCAAGTCCAAGTGAGTTTTCAACTTCAATAAGAGCCTTTTGAGTGCGATGTGACCAGGGGTCATCGAAGGTCAAGCTGAAGCTCAAGCGAGATCGAAATGGACCCCAGGGCCGAGACAAAGACGAGTACGCAAACAAGTACTCTGCATCGAGTTGTCAAATCCACAAAGATGGGCCGTTTAGATTTGGGCACTCGGACCGTTGCTATTCGGATTTTTCTGTGGATGAGATGGCGACGGCTGATGGTGCACCCTGAGGCGTCGTCGATAAAAAGAGAGCGGCATGAGGTTCAAGGCCGTCGAAGTGATGGAGCTTGGAGGATGGAATCTGCCATTGGATGGTTAAGAGGTTTCAATGTTTGGGCTAAGGCAGTTAGTTGACTGGCTAGCTTCCTGTTGGCAGGAGGCAGGTACCTGTGGATGAGTGGCTCCTGCCTGTTTCCGCTTTCCGCAGGCGGTCAATTGTGGGCCGGCAATCAAACACGAGCACAGGCAGCCAATGTGGGCTGCGTATTGAAAGCCAAACCAGGAACTGCCTGGTTGACATCAGTCCGGTTGAACATCAACACACCTTGACATCAGGACTGGTGCAGGAAACGCCTATCCATGGCCTTCTTAGGCCTACATACCCGCTCAATCGTGGCAAAATGCATGCGGCCAGCCACTCAAAAGGAAAACTGGCTACATGCAAAGGCATCAATTGCATATTACGGAGTACCATTGCATCTATCTTTGCCTTATCAACAGCCGCGTGATCAATCGCCGAGTCTCCCAAGCCTCCTCCCATTACCCATGATGAGATCATGAAAACATGAGGTCATGAGAGAATACAGCTTCTCTGGCCCATTGGATTCCGTAATATGGTGCTGAGAATTAGCTACAACGCACGCCTGCACCACCACGACATCCACTACTTCAGATATTGACAGCTCCTCCTCCTCACCAGCTGCGATCGACGCCATATCCAACCTGCCACGTTTCTACCAATGGTCTCTACCAATGGGGCGCCTTCAGCCAGCAGAGAAGGGCCATGTCACTCCGTGTTCTGGACTGCCCGAGGTTTGTTACGCTTGTCCATTATCCGTGGAAAAGGTTGTGCTCACCACCTTTAGATTGTCGCTACCCTAAGCGCTTGAAAGGGGAAAAAAAAAGCCAAACTTGACAGCCATCTCCCACCAAGGCATTAGCTCATTTCTACGTCTTTCGGTGATCTCATGAACAGGCTATGCATAAAACTCTTCCGTTTCTTGCCTGTTTTCATATCCGGTGGAATCATCATGTCCCCGCTGCTCGTTGGAACCGCTGTAAGTGGTATGGCATCAACAGGAGGCACTGTTTTATCTTGTCGCTGAGACACCATGGACGTCATCGATGCAGGTTTCCGCAAAGTAAGTGACTAGACAAATCAGACATCCGAATCAGCTCCGAAGACACGCAGCAGGATGCTTACCTTGGACCTACGCCACTCTCCATCTCTACCGTCGTGGCCTTGCAAACCTTGCCCAACTGATGCTCCCATTGCTGCACCGTTTGCTAAACATTCCTCGACGATAGGCACAAATAGGACGAGGCCGCGTGTTGGGGTAACCCTGAGAGCTTGCTGAAGATGGAATTGGAATAACGCTGCATTTCGCCTGTTCGTATCGGGCTTGACTTGATCTGGCATTGCAGTAATCGTCATGATGTATGCTGGCTCGAATGAGCCACCGAAGAGCAGACACATCCCATGTTGTAAAGATATGACGATTGAGCTTATAGGGCGACTGTAACGGATCGACAAATGATATGTGAGTTCATTCATGAAGAGGTACTC